CTTTCTTTCTTTCTTTCTTTCTTTCTTTCTTTCTTTCTTTCTTTCTTTCTTTCTTTCTTTCTTTCTTTCTTTCTCCTTCCTTTCTAGACAAAGTCTTTCTGTGTAGCCCAGGCTTGGGCTGGAACTCACAACAACCCTCCTACCCTAGCCTCCTGAATGCTGGGATTACAGGCGTGAGCCAGATTGTCATTTTTACAGATGAGAAATGAGAGGCAAAAAGAGATTATATCATCTGCCCAAGGGAATAAGTGATAGAGCCTGTATTTGAACCCAGATAGTCGGACCCAGTAACTGCTTTTAACCACTCCAAGTTGGGCCTTCCTGTTTGGGGACTGGAGTCCCTGAGAGCCCCATTACTTGGATTAGAAGGCAAGGCTGCTTGATATGGGACATGGAGCCCTTGTCTTCTGGGGGGTCTAAGGCCTTGGGGTTGAGCTGGTTTCCCTATGGCAAGAGGATAGTTCTGCTCTGCCCTCACAACAGCTGCATTCTCTCTGCCTACCACGTGCCCTTTCGTGCACATTGAGGACCTCGGGCTGAGGTGCTAGGTGCCTAGGCTCTGAGATGCTGTCTGGCCATACCTCACATCACCCTGACTGGACTACCTGGAGCATGGGCCCCAGACCAGAGCCCAGACAGAGAGGTCCAAGGGCTGGTACTTCCTCCTCATGGCCCTCGTCCTGCCCCCCCAGCTCTGACTCCTGTGTCTCTGGCTGTGTTGTCTCCAAGGGATATCTGCTGGCTGCTCTCCCTCTGCTCACACTGACTCTCCCTCTGTAGACCTTCACTGTGAACAGAGGCCCGCCCCGGCCCCACCCTGGTATCCTGGCTCCTGCCAGGCCCCGAAGGCCAAGGCTGTTAGTCCATCCTGAGTGGTAAGTGCTGCTGTCTACCATTGCATGCCTCTGGGACCTGAGAGCAGGTGGTGTTGGGGGGCAGAGGTGGGTGTCCCTGAAGCCAATGTGGTTTTGGGGGCTGGAGGGCAAGCCTTAGAAGAGGCAGTGGGTGAAGTGCTGCTCAGGGGAGATCTGATTTCTTCAGAGGTGAGTGTATTGTAGGGGTGGAGATGGGAAAGCCTTCTTTTCTTAGTAGTGTAGGCTGGAGGCTCTGGGCCCAAGTGACATGGGCAGGTGAGGCAAAAGGATGACAGCTGCTCTCCAGGCAGCACGTGCCTGGTTCCAGGAAGCGGTGACTATAGCTGGGGGGCAGGTAGACATGGTGGGAGGCTGGCCTGTGTCCAGGGAGTGGACACCGAATCAGGCAGTGCTGCGTGAAGCCAGTGCCTGGGCTACACCTCCCTCCCTGAAAGAGTGGTGACCGTCTCTCGTTACCCTGGCGGACTGCAGGTCGGGGGGGGGGGGGCTGTGTGGGGAGGCAGCCTCTGGTTCCCTCACTGCCTTACACCCAAGCAAAGTTACAGAGGGGAGAAATGATTTCCTGAGGTCCTGCAGTGAGGTTGTGCATTCAGGCCTAGGATCCAGATCTGCTGGATTCCTGGCAAGCCCAGGGCCTGTCTGGTGGTGGAGGACACATCTTCCTTGTCTTGAGGGTACTTTCAGAGAAGGCACAAGCTGATCTGTGGGTGAAGGAATGGAATTTCCAACAGACTTTTTCCTGGGCCCCGAGGTCCTGGGATGGGGTTAAGGGGTTCCATGCCTGAGAGAGCTGTACTTTGACCTGGCATTCTGGACAGGGGCCCTGAGACTCCTCTCCCTCCTTTTCTCCTTCCCGGAAGAGAGGGCCATCTCTGAGCAGCAGCCCCCCTCAGGCTTAGGCGATCCCAGATGGAGCAAGAGCTGACTCAGTGTCTCCCCCCCCACCCTCCAACACATTGGCTCATGTGGAACTGGTGTTCAAGGTGCAGAGTCACTGAGAGGTGGCGGGGATGGGAAGGAGGATGACCAGTCTGAGCCTGGATGGGAGGAGGGGAAGCCTCAGGAAGTGGAGCGTCTGGTGCTGGGAGCCCGGCTGCCTGTGCACCTGGCTTTCTGAGGGCAGTAGGCTCCATGCCACCAACCTTGTGCCGGGGACAGGGAGAGGAGTTACTGTAAGTGGAAGGGATAGGTAGGTGTTCCTGGTCAGCTGGAGATCTGGACTTAGGAAGCACGTGAGTCAGGATGACAGCAGTGGTCAGGTATCTCCCTCCACTCAGCCCCCACTGCTAACTCCAGCCCAGACCCGGAGTCCCAAGCACCTAGCATCCCTTCTGGGTACACAGCAATGCTAGTGGGCACAATTCCTTGTGTTTACCCTGTTGTCTGGGTGATAGTGGTGATTTGGTGGAATTCCCATGTTGAATATACTGCCAAGGCCACCCTGAGGGGCTGTCAGCCAGAGCCCCATGAGTGCTAGAGCTGTTGGTCTTGTGACGTGGGCACCTGTCTGCCAGGCCTGGGCATGGGCCCAGGGTCACGCTCACTCTGGGGCTCCCATCAGCTGACTATTTTTGGGTTCTTGCTGACCTGGGCCAAAGTCAGGCCCCAGCCAAGAGGGCCCTGAGGCAGCTCCCCCCATCCCCAGAGGCCGGCTCTGGTTTCTGCTATATAAACAGAGGAGGACACACTGGCTTGGAGACAGTTCCATATCCTGAGCCCGCTCAGCCGGTACAAGGCCTCAGCCTGGGAGGACAGGCTAACCGGGTAGTCGAGTCTCTCCCTGCAGGGCTCCCTGGGGCTGTGGGCCGAGGTCCTGCGGACCTGGATTCTGCCTTTGTTGTCCAGGCTCTCTGAGAGTCAAAGCGGACGGTGGGGAGGAAAGCTGGTAAGTGGTGGGAATGGAGCCGCTGAGGCACAGGAACTGGGGTGTTTTGATTTGTTTCTGTTGTGACTGTCTTGCCAAACCCTTTGGCCTTGAGAAGAGGAGGACGCAGGCAAGGACGGCCGGTGTTCCTGAGGAGTGAGAGTGCAGCATGGCCACAGTTGGGTGATGAGCACTGGATCTGGGAACACGCTGGGGCTGAGAACCCAGAGATGTAGGAATAGGTGACGTAGGCTGTCTTCCTCCTCAGAGAGCGCCCTCAAGGGTCTCCGACCTCCTCTTTCTTCCACCTGGCCTGGATAGGGGACTGGTCACTCAGGTGGGAGGGACATACAAATGAGTTTGGTGGCCATCAGAGTTCCTGAGGCTTGGTTTGGAGTGGGATTCCAAGCCCCCCAGCTGGGTGGGACTGGGCAGCTGGGCTGGGGCTTGGCCTCCTGCTCACCCTCAGCAGCTGGCTTGCTCTCCTTATCTGTCCGGCTTCCCAGCTGCTTTTGGTGCCTGAGAAGCAGGGCTGGAGCAAGGCCTGGCAAGTCCCCCAGCCAGCTTGCCACAGACACGCTCCCTGGGACCTGGGCCAGGGGCTTTGGCCTGGCACAAGATTAACGGCAGCTCGTTTCATGGGAGGCTCTTGTGCACTCCGTCTCAGCTCTCAAAAAAAAAAAAATTTTTTTTTTTCCCCTTTCTGAACGTGAGTCTCTAAATGAATCCAGAGCCTGTGACTAAAAATATGTTAACAATAGGAAAGTACATCAGACTTTCCGCTGGGGCTCGTTATCAGAGGATTTTTATTTTGGAATTTGAAATTTTGCCCATGGAGGCTGGGTGGAGCCCTTGTGGAGGAGTGGGGGAATCTGGTGGGTGTCTGTGTTCTGCAAGGTGGTGGGAGACCCTTCAAGTGCAGGCAGGACCTGGCCAGGAGCCGAACGGACTGAGGGCACAGAGGGAGCTGTGAGGGGATGCAAGTGAGATGGAGGCAGCCTTCTCAGGAGAACTCTGGTCTTACCTGTACTTTCCAGTCTTTAAACTGTTCTTCCTGAGGTCTTATCTTATTCCTTTATGCCGTACGGCTTCGGGGAAGGTGGAGTCTTGAAATCAGTGGACTGAAGATGGCCTCCGTGGCCATGGACTGACCTGAATTATCCAGCTTTCCCCGGAATATTAATTGAGCACTTGCTCCATACAGAGCCCAGAATTTTCTCAGTGCTTGGTGGAGCCACATCCCTGGACACACTCTTCTTTCCTCTCACTCAGCCCTAGAGGGGGACAAGCAGAGATAGTTCTCAGAGTGGAAGATCTACTGGCCTTCCAGTCCAACCAGGACCCTGGTTTGTCACCCCCACACCCTATTCTGCTACAAGTTCCTGGAGTCCAAGCTCTAGTCAATGCTCCATGTCAGTGCTGAGGAAATAGTCTCAAGGAAGGCAAGGGACTGGCTCTAGGTCACAGAGGCTTGCTGGCCCCTGGTGCAAGATGCCTCTGGTAGCTCTTCCTTCTTTTGCCTCTGCTGAGAACTGGGGATGGGTGGGTGTGGGACCCGCTAACCTGCCTATATCTTTGGGTGCCTGTTGGTGGGGAGACAACTACATATGTGGTCAATGGCAGGTCGGGGCGAAGGCCAGGTAATGAGAGCCAAAGCCTGGGCCTGACCCTTCAACCACAGTCCCCACAGCTGTCCATGGGAAACAGGCAGCCTTCCCAGCCCGTGGCACAATCCCCCTGCCCACTGCCAGGGCAGGAAGAGGAAGTTGCTGGGTTAGGGGTGGCAGCGAGCCCTGGGGCTGAGGAGGGGAAGCTCCTGGGGATCACTTCTCGGTGGGAGGAAGCAAAGCTCACTCCTTCCGCCCTCTCCACGGGAAGAGAGTAGAGGCCCATGGGTGGGGATGGTCTTGGTGAAAGCAGGGCAAGTTCCTGCCCTCTGCTCAGCAGGGGTGGGGCCCAGCCTGGGGGCACAGCGTGGGAAAGGAGGCATGCAGCTCTACTTCCTCCATTCCCTGTTTACTGAACCTCATGCCCACTTTCTTGGCTGGGGAAAGATATTGGACAGTGGCTGCCATTTGGGGGCCGCGCCGGCTCTTTATTGTTGAGGATGTGTAAAGGTCCTCCCACCAAGGTGGAGACACAGTGCCCCTAACCTTTGTGTTGTTCACACACTGGTGGGGGAGACAGGGGTCCGAGCTCAGAAATCCCTGGGCCTCAAGTATACTGTGCTGGCAGACAGCATGTAGGCCCTGTTCTGATGTAAGATGTGGCCCCTCCTAACTCTAGTTGTGCTCTGAGTATCTGCTGATAGAACAGATGCGTAATGAGTAACAGCCACTTTGATTTCAGAAACATGCCCTTGAATGAATTTGTACTCAATAAATTCCAGCTGCATCGGTATCTGTTTAAATAAATATGTCTCACCAGGTGTGGTGGCGAATGCCTGTAATTCTAGTATACTGTAGGAAACTGAGGCAGGAAGATTGCAAGTTAGAGCCCAGCCTGGAACTTGCCTCAAAAAAAGAAAGGTGGTGTAGGGTATGGGGTGGGGGGTGGAATGTAGCTTAGTGTGAAGGCCTTGGGTTCAGGCCCCAGTGCCACCAAAAAAAAAAAATGAATGAAGAAATATATATGTGTGTGTGTGTGTGTGTGTGTGTGTGTGTGTGTCTCCCACTTAGTTGTGACTGTTTTTTAAAATAAACTTTTCTTGGGGGGAGTATAACATACATACAGAAAAGTAAATCTTAGGAGTATAGTTTGAAGACTTTTCCAGAGTGAACATACTCAACATCCCATTGTCCAGATTGGGAAAAACACTTCCAGTCCCATCAAGGACCACTTGTAGGCACCTGTCGCAGGTCATGTGTGCATGGTTTTGTGGTGCACTTAGAAGCATCAAGGACCTTGCAGCCCAAAGCCATAGCCTCAGAGTCAAGACAGTGGGTCAGCATGAACCTGAGAGTTAGAGGACCTGAGTTTGAACCTGCCTTTAAGTCTCTGTTTCCTCCATCATAAACTGCAACTTGTAATTCCAAACCTGGAAGAATGTTAAATAGAGAAATCCATGTGAGGGGGCCTGGCTCAAAGTCCCACCTTTGAAGATCAGCAGGATTCAGATAGAGGAAAGAAGAGAAACATGTGCTCTGTGGGTGAAACATCTCGTGCAGAAGTGGGCAATGGGAACCTTATCTGGGGCCCTGGGTGGTGAGGTAGAATGGGAGGCTGTGCCATGGTATGGGGCTTGACTGGGGTGGGGCTGGTTTTTGTCTCTAACTTGACATCTTCTCTTCCCGTCCTCCTTGTGTTACAATGGCCTGGCCTTACCTCCCTCTCTTCATTAAGGAGAGAACTGTTCATTCCAATTTTGTCCTTGAAGGCTGGATTTTGAAGGTCCATCAGTGGTCTCTGTTTCATCCAGGACCAGCTGTCTCTCTAAGCCTCCCAGTGTTTACCTCAACTTTCCCTGAAGTTCTGCTTGGCTGGACTCCACCCCTCCCCCCGCAGAGCCCCAGGCCACCCTCCCTGGGGGACCTCAGAGGAGCAGGGATAAAACCTGGGATCCCCAAGCCGCTTTTGCCTTTTTCTCATCAGTGTTATGCTAGAGGTTCTACACAAGTACCTGCAGGGTGACTCCAGCTGTGTTCCCTTTTTCTCCTTATTTACAGCACTTGTTTTTAGAGTATGGCGTATTCAGACCCCATCATGCCTGGCTCCCACAGCATAGCCAGGTGGCAGCTGTAGTTCCTCACCCTCCACTGGCTTCAGGGGAGCAGTCTGCAGCCTCCACAACTTGCTCCAGCTCAGAGAGATGCTCAACCCTCAAGACTGAGCTAAAGCTGAGTTTGAGCACAAACTGGTCAGGGTGCAGTAGTACACCTGTCTTTACTGGATGGTGGGAAGAACATTCCCTTGGCTGATTTTGCTGAGATAATAAAATTATTTTTATTTTCTGAGGAAGGGCCTGCTGGGGTAAGGAGGAATCTAGGGATGGGGTTAGGGAGGTGAGGAGCCAGAGGAGACACAGCTAGGGTTGGTTTCACCAGCACAGACCTGCTGTGTGCTCTGGAGCGAAGATGCTGCTCTTCTTGGAACTCTTGGATCCTAACTTTCAAACTCAGAGGACTTGAATTATAGTAGTGCTTTCCAACATTTTAAAAGCTGTGGAATCATTTTCCACAAATATCCCACAAAAATCTAAGTGAAATCTCGTGCAAAAATGCAAGAAAAAGAAAGACAAAATTTTGGCTGAGGTGGAATGAGGATTCTGGACACGTCCAATTGACACTATCCTGCCCACCCTTCACCTTCATCCAGGTGTCCTTGAAGATTTTTGTAAGATGATTTGAGAAAATCTTGAGCACTCAGTGGACTCTGTGGGGATTGCATCTTGAATAGGGGAGCTGTGGCAGGTTATGACCAGATCCTTGGAAAGGTCAGTGTCATATGAAGCTTGCTCCATTTGTGGTGGGCAGTGAGGCTTTGAAGACAGGCTGGTTAAGGATTCTTTCCCTTCTGTGCATGCAACAGATGCTCTGATCAGGTGTGGTGGTGCACACCTGTGATTCCAGCACTAGGGAGCCCGAGCCAAGAGGATCTACCCCAAGTTCAAGATCATAGTGAGTTCAGTGTCAGCCTGAACTACCTAACAAGAAACTTGTCTCAAAAACCAAAAAATGACAGATGCTCTGCTATGGATCTACACCCCTATCTCCAAGGGTAGTTTTCTTTTTTTTGGTACTGGGGATCAGAACTCAGGACCTTCCGCTTTCCAGACTGGTGGTAGCACCACAAGGGTAGTTTTCTTAACAGGTGTGGACCAGAATGTCTGTGTTGTGGGCTTCAGCCAGCAGTAGGAACCTGGAAGATGGGGGGATACAAGAGATGGTGCAAAAGAATTTAGGTAAAGATTAACAGTTGCATGTGAGGCATCAGGAGCAGAGATGGGGTGTTGGGGAGGGGATGCAGAGATGATAAGCTCTGCCTGGAATAGTTTGAGGTGCTGGTGGAAATTTTGAGTGGGCAGAAGTAGGGGCTGGAGACAGGGTGTGGGAGACTTGATGGGAGGTGAGAGTGGGAGTGAGGGGCTGCCGTGCTTAGGGCAGAGGGAAGTGCCATAGGGCATCCGGATGAGGTCAGGACAAGCTCAGTGGCAGCAGAAACTTTTGCTGGCATTGATTTACCGGGAAATGAGAGGAGATCCCAGTGGAGTGAGTGTGTGGGGCCGCTCTGGTCGACGTTAGCCCTTCCTTCCCCCCTTACCTTTGATAAAGGCTCCCCAAGCCTGGGGTGGGATGGGGTGGAGGCTTGACAGCCGGACCAGGAAAGGCTCCAGGTGGCTGCAGCCTGGTCTGTGCCCTGATAGCCCTGGCGGGCCCTTCTCCGCTCCACGGGGCAGGTGGTAACTGGTCAGAGCTGCTCTCCCCACCCGTGCTGGAGGCGGGGTGGGAGGGCAGGTGCTCCCTGATCCTGGACCAGGGGCGGAGGTAATGGCAGGAGGGTGTGAAAAGCCCCTAGAAAGGTAGTGCGTGGACCTAGTTTCCACCCGTGTGCCACCACCTCGCTGTGTAACCTTGAGCAAATGCCATTATTTCTCTGAGCCTGTTTATTTATAAAATGGGGAAGAGTTGGCATGAGTTTGAACAGATTTCTCAGGCTCCACCCTGTTCTGAAATTCTGTAATTTCCCAACTAGGGTGCATTCACCCTGTAAGGGACTGGGGAGGAAGGGGGTGGTGAGAAACCAAGTACAGTGTGTGGAGCTGAGCCCATTGGCCCAGCTCGGGTCTGGCAAACCCCTGCCTCGGGAAGGGACTTTGCGGGCGAGATGATTGGAGGGAGTCAGCATGGGCTCTGACTATCGTCCGAGTTTCCACCTCTCAGGCAGAGCCATGCTGGGGAAGACCTGTCAAGCGCGGCCAGCTGTGCCCTGGGCTGAGGTTGGGGGCGCAGGCTCCCCAGGGTGTGCCCTGGTGTTGCCCGCCCTTGCTTTGGACGCCCAGACGCTGCAGAGGGTGACACCCAAGGGCTGCAGGAAGGGCTGGGAGGGTGCAAAGGCGGGGCCGGGCCTGAGGGTGAGGAGAACCTGGTCTGGGGAAGCCCTGGGGCCGCGGCACTAGAGCGCCCTCTCTTCGGGCTCTGGGCCTCTCAGCCGGTTATTTTGGACCTAGGGGCCCCTACTGGGTCCTCGGTCCAGTGGAGGGAGCCTGGTGGGTCTGGAAGATGCTATTTTTAGCCGGTGCGGAGGGCGCGAGGAGACTATTTATAGATCAAACAATCCGCGCTCCCTGCGTCAATGGAACCCCGCGTGCGTCACGCGCACAGACATTCCAGGCCCCCCCCTCGCCCCGCCCCCTCGGGCTCCCCGGCCCCGCGCCTCCCCCTGGCCGCCTCCCGCCGGAACCGCACCGCCCCCCGCGCCCTTGTATGGCCAAAGCTCGCCCGGCCGCGTGCGTCAGTGGCGCCCCCGCCCCTCCCCGTGCGTCACGGAGCGCTTAAGAGGTGGGTCCGGCTCGCTTGGGGAGCCCCAGTGGCGGAGGCTGCGAAACTTGGGGGAGTGCGCGAGAAGGACTGCGGAGAGCACGCGGGACCAAGCTGCGTTTCGGAGCTCTGGTCCCGGGCAGGAGGAGCAGGATCCGGCCGGGTAGGTGCCCCTGCGGGAGCGTGCATCTTTTCTGGGTGGTGCATGAAGGAGATCGGTGTTCGCGCGGGCAGAAAAGGTGTTGTAGAGTCGGCTTGCAGGAGCGTGGTGAGAGTGTAGTTCTGATGTTGGGGGCTAGTGGCTGGAGCCGGATGAGCACCCACATCGGAGTGGAGTCTACTGGATGAGGCCGTGGGTGGTTGGAGTGGCTGCAAGGTGGAAGCCGCAGGGCGTTGGGGTTGACGCCAGGAGTGGGGACTTGTCCAGCAGGCAGCTGGACTTAGTTCAATCTCCCAGGGTGCCCAAGTAGGCGCTCGGCATTCTGGACTTGATGCTGGCGGGGCGGGGGGGGTGGTGTCAGTACATTGGGGAGAAGGTACACGGCAGAACTCCCGTGCTGCTGGGCTACTCCTGATTCCAACTAGGATTCCAATTCCAAAAGGATCTCAGGCTGTCAGCCCCTCATCCCATGCCCCAATGTGTGCTTGTTTGTGTGTGTGTGTGTGTGTGTTTGTGTGTGTGTGTGTGTTCTAAGCACTTTAGAGGCAGTAGTTTAGTTTGCAGGGATTTCTACTTTGAACTTTTTGCCTGAATTCTGTCAGGATACCTCTGGATTACTGAAGGAAATGGCTAGGCTGGTGTTGGAATGGTTGGAGAGGTGTGTCCTGTATGTTGGGATATGTCTTTTAGAGTCAGGGTCAAGGTAGCTGGAAGCACAAGGATTGTTTTAGCTGTGGCTTGGATCCGGTAAGGCGTGCGTGTGTGTGTGTGTGTGTGTGTGTGTGTGTGTGTGTGTGTCTGTCTGTCTGTGCAGAGATAGATAAGGGGAAACGTTTTTCCTTGAAACCTGCTTGGAAGTTGCTAAGTGCTACCTACCTAAAGGATCCTTCTGCCTCCCATTCCAGCTCCATACGATGGTCGCCTCTGTACCCCCTCCCCCAATAGTCTCAGTTGGATTTTTCAGGTAGAGTGCAGTCTGAGGCTTGTTCAGCCTAACAGGTGCAAACCACAGTGTTGCCAGGACCTGCCTGAAGCCGGATTCTCCCACTCCCTCCTTTAACCCCACCTCTTCCTCCTCCGTGTGGGGTGCCCCCCCATGGGACTATCTATAGATCCTTACCTCCTGTTGCTGAATACCTGCACAAGGGGGTGGGTGTTGGTGGGGGTTGATCCGGATGTGGGACGTCCTAGTAGAGAAACAGGATTTGAATGAGGTTGAAACAAACGCCCAGTCCCGCGTGGCTGCCACTATTCTTCCTGCCCCCGGGCCCATCCCTGCCCGGGCTGTCCTAGTGCAGGCGACGTGGCTACCCTTATCTCCTGCAGGTGCTGTGTGCCTGGACGGCACCACTGGGCAAGTGGGGGCAGAGCTTTGAGGGGCTCTTTTGTCTTGGTTGATTGTGTTCCAGGGTTGGTGTGCTGCCCTGGCCAAGGCTCCTGGGGTTGTGAGAGAAAGGCTGGGGTCAGAGGGCTTCCTGGGTGGTTAGCCAGGAAATGGTAACAGCCTTTGCCCCATCACTGTCCCCTGTGATCATGGTACTCTCCATTCCAGCTTGATTTCTTACTTTTGCTTCCTGGATGGGGGCCAGAGTTGTGTAGATCTCATACATGACAGTGGGGAAGGAAACTGTCCTGGAGCCTCCTTTGCATGATTTTTGGCCAGTGTGTGAATTGAAGGGTCTCCTCTGGATGAAATATCTATTCCTTCATGTGCCTCAGAATTAGGGCTATGTAACCCCTTTACCTGAGCCCCTAGATGCTTCAGGGGCACAGACATTTAGGGCTAGACCCAAGCAGGTGCAGGATGTCTTTGATCCATCTACTGACAGGTTTTTTTCTTTCTGCATAACCACCTTAAGACTTTTGTGGGACTCCAAGAGTTCTCTCATACAAATAACCAGGAAGCTAGGAGTGGTGGCACAGGCCTGTAATCCCAGTACCCAGGAGGCTGAGGCAGGAGGATTCCCACAAGTTCAAGGCCAGCCTGAGCTACATAGAGAGACCTTGTCTCAAAACCAAAAACCAAAAGTAGCATGGAAATTCCTCTGAGGGACTGTTCCTTCCTCTGGACATCCAGAGGGCTGTTCTCTTAGCCCTTTGCTTCCCCCTTCACTCCTCTCCAGCATTATATGGCCTTTAAAGATCTAGTGCTGTTCGGAGCATGGTGGTGAACGCCTATAATCCCAGCACTTGGGAGGCTGAGGTAGGATTGTCACGAGTTTGTGGCCAATCTGGCCTACGTAGTCAGTTCAAGACCAGTCTGAACTATATAGCAAGACCCTGTCTCAAAAGAAAAAAACAAAACATCCACAAAGATCTGGTGCCAGTTACCCAATCCTCTGAGGAGCTGGGGATGGTGAGGAGGCCTGTGTTCCCTGTTCCCTTCTTCTTTGCTTCTGGAAGCATCCCAGGCAGTACAGAGTGGGTTCCCGGGCCCAGATGGCAAGACTGGGGTGTGCGTGGGATCTGCTGCCTTTGCTCAGCATGCAGGGTGAAGGTGGAGGACAGGCTCCAGTGGTTGTACTGCTACTGGGGCCGCCTTACATAGCTGGACCTGCACTGCTAGCCTGTCTTCTAGTCCTAGAATGTCCACCTTCCTAGGCACCATGGAAGAAGGGGCATTCAGAGGGTGGAGCATACCTGGGAATATTCCCAGGAAGTACCTGGTTGGAGAAACAACACATTTGCTCCTGGGGGCTGAGATGGGGCTCCCATGACAGCCTTTTCCATCCCCCCTCCCAGCCCCGACTCACACCTTCCCTGGCTGGGGAAGGGCCAGAGGCTGGAGGAACACAGCTTTGCCCTGCTCCAATAGAGAAATGCTGGCCGGATGCCTTCTCTGGGGTTCCCGGGCTGGCTGGGGTGTGGCTGGCCTTCCATCTGAGCCCACTCAGGCAGGGGTCAGGATTCCTGGGTTCTGGGCTGTGGCCCTGGTACCTCTGTCCCATCCTAGGCCTGCCAGGTGGCTGACCCGGGCCTTCTGACACCAGGCTTCAGGCTTCGCTCACTGACTCCTTTCCTTCCCTCCCTTGGCCTCTTCCTTCTGTAGAGATGCCCTGTATCCAAGCCCAACATGGGACACCAGCACCGAGCCCAGGACCCTGTGACCACCTGGCAAGCGACCCCCTGACCTCTGAGCTCAGCAAGCCCACCATGGACCTGGCCAGCCCCGAGGCAGCCCCTGCGGCCCCCACTGCCCTGCCCAGCTTCAGCACCTTCATGGATGGCTACACAGGAGAGTTTGACACTTTCCTCTATCAGCTCCCGGGAACCGTCCAGCCATGCTCTTCGGCTTCCTCCTCTGCCTCGTCCACATCTTCATCCTCGGCCACCTCTCCCGCCTCTGCTTCCTTCAAGTTTGAGGACTTCCAGGTGTATGGTTGCTACCCTGGCACCCTGAATGGCCCACTAGATGAGACCCTGTCCTCTAGTGGTTCTGACTACTATGGAAGTCCCTGCTCAGCTCCGTCACCATCTACACCCAGCTTCCAGCCGCCCCAGCTCTCTCCCTGGGATGGCTCATTCGGTCACTTCTCCCCCAGCCAGACTTATGAAGGCCTGCGGGCATGGACAGAGCAACTGCCCAAGGCTTCTGGGCTCCCACAGCCACCAGCCTTCTTTTCCTTCAGTCCCCCCACTGGTCCTGGCCCCAGCCTGGCCCAGAGTTCCCTGAAGTTGTACCCCTCGCAGGCCACCCATCAGCTGGGGGAGGGAGAGAGCTATTCCATGCCAGCCGCTTTTCCAGGCTTGGCACCCACTTCCCCAAACCTTGACAGCTCAGGGATGCTGGATCCACCTGTAACCTCAGCCAAGCCCCGGAGTGCAGTTCCAAGTGGAAGTGAGGGCCGCTGTGCTGTGTGTGGGGACAACGCCTCTTGCCAGCATTATGGGGTCCGCACCTGTGAGGGCTGCAAGGGCTTCTTCAAGGTACTATGCTACCCTGGGCCTGGGGACAGGCTGGTCACTCATCCCATTGGGGTCTTTGGTGGGTCCCCTTGCCTTCTCTTTCCAGCTAGTCCTATCCTGTAGGAAGGCAACAGGCTTGCCAGATGGGCCACTTTCCTAGGGCCCTACAGATGCACAGGCTGGGACCCTTCATTCACGGGGCCAGGCAGGGCCAGGACGAGGGGACTACAGAGGGCTGGAGGGGTGAGATAGGTTAGAGGTTTTGGGCCTCAGGGGTACCCAGGAGGGTTCCCTGTCCTGGCCACCCTTCGGGTCTCTGCCCATCCCCCCCAGGTCCTGGTGGGAGGGGGCCCCAGGCACTCGTGTTCCTGGCATTAGATGAAAGGATCTGGGCAGAGGGTTTGGTTCTTGAGCACTGGGGGTGGACTTGGGAACAGGCTGTGTATTTGTCCCAGTGCTGGGTGCCTGCTTAGCTTCCCATCCCCACCCCCAGCCCATTGCCCTCTCCCGTGGGTCCCGAGGAAGGAGCCAGTGGACAAGCTTGTTAGAAAACACAAGTGTCTGGACTGCTTGGGGTGGGAGGTCCCTACCCCCTAGTCTTGGTCCCTGGGGTCTTCCTCTGGAGGCAGAAGCTGCCCCAACATCTCTGGGACTTCTACCCTCCCCTGTAGCTCTCCCTTCCTTGCCACCCAAATGTTAGAAAAATAGCGACGAACAGAGAACGCTTTTGTCTGCGTCGTCGTCGGCAGCAGGATCTGGACAGTCCCCTCCTCTAGGCTTCCCCCTCCCCACCCCACATTCTGACAGCCTGTTCCGTGTTGCCCCCCCTCAGCGCACAGTGCAGAAAAGCGCCAAGTACATCTGCCTGGCAAACAAGGACTGCCCTGTGGACAAGAGGCGGCGGAACCGCTGCCAATTCTGCCGCTTCCAGAAGTGCCTGGCTGTGGGCATGGTGAAGGAAGGTGGGTGGTGGGACAGGGCCCAGAGGGGAAGAGGTGGCCTGACAGGGTGGGGCAGGGTCCCCAGGCATCTGCCCTGAAACCCTACAGAGCAGGGCAAGTCTGCCCTTCGGTTCCACTCCCTCCAGACCCATGTGCCCAGGGGGAGGCAGTGTCCACCTGCCTGGTTAGTGAAAGAGGTGGTAGGGGAGGGCCTTGTAGGGTTCCTTGGGTCTCAGGGGCTCTGGGTCTTGGGTCCTGAGGTTCTCAACAGTAGTGGGTGTGTACTGCTTGGGTTGAAGTTCTCCTCAGATCTCTTCCTTCCTCACCCCTGCTCAACCTCTTTGCAGTTGTCCGGACAGACAGCCTGAAAGGCCGACGGGGCCGGCTACCTTCAAAACCTAAACAGCCCCCAGATGCCTCCCCTGCCAATCTCCTTACCTCCCTGGTCCGGGCACACCTGGACTCGGGGCCCAGCACTGCCAAACTGGACTACTCCAAGGTGAGGCCCTGCTTGCTCCGCCCCTACTTGGGGAAGGCTGCTGTGAATGCGTGTAGTACCTTTGTGCATGTTAGGAGAGGCACGCTCTCTAGGGCAGCTCATCGGAAAAAGAGGAGCCCCCTGTGGGCTGACCAGATGGAGAAGTGCCCCTTCGGCAGGCAGCCAATTAGAAACGCATGCTTCTTCCAGGAGCTGCAGCTCTGGATTGAACGGGGGAGCTGACAAGCAAGAGCACCCTGTGTTCACCCCAGATCTGGGCACACCAGCGTGTATGGTGGCTGGTATGGGCGCTGCCAGCAGTGCTTACCCCGGGACCACTTTCCAGTTCCAGGAGCCGGTGCTGCCCCGCTTTGGAAAGGAGGACGCCGGCGACGTGCAGCAGTTCTATGACGTGCTCTCCAGTTCCCTGGAGGTTATCCGCAAATGGGCTGAGAAGATCCCCGGCTTTGCTGAGCTGTCCCCGGCTGACCAGGACCTGCTGCTGGACTCAGCCTTCCTGGAGCTCTTTATCCTCCGCCTGGCCTACCGGTGAGCCTCCTGCCGGCCTCCCAGCCTCTTCCCTGCTCCTGCTTCCCGTGAGCACCTGAGCCCTGACTGCTGTCTGCACCTCTCCCGCCAGGTCTAAGCCAGGTGAGGGCAAGCTCGTCTTCTGCTCAGGCCTCGTGCTGCACCGGTTGCAGTGTGCCCGTGGCTTCGGCGACTGGATTGACAGCATCCTGGCCTTCTCACGGACGCTGCACAGCTTGGTTGTTGACGTCCCCGCCTTCGCCTGTCTCTCGGCTCTTGTTCTCATCACTGGTCAGTGGCTGGGACCCAGCAGGGCCCTAGGGCCTGGGTGTCCGGGGCCTGATTGGTTCTCCAGAGGGAACTGTTCGGGAATTTGGGCAGGCTGGCATCTCACACTTCCTGTGCTCTTACACTGTCATGTTGGTGACAGGGACTGGAGGGGACTCAGCTTCATTCCACTCCAAAGTGGGCCTTTGAGTGGCCCTAGACTGCCCAAGATGCATCCATCGGTGCCATGTGTCTGGTTTAGGGTTTTGGTTTTTTTAAAAAAAAATCTCCCTATCAATCAGCTAGGCACAGTGGCACACACATGTAACTCCAGCATTTGGGAGGCTAAGGCAGGAGGATCACAGATTACAGCCCAGCCTGGGGTGCCTATGGAGTCTAACCTGGACTCCCTAGTAAGACCCTGTCTCAGAAAGATAAAAAGTAAACTGAAAACTAAAACTAAAACTCTCCCTGTCAATTACACAACATATAGGAAAGCGCACACATGATAAATGTTCACAAACCACATTTGTATAACCAGCCCCTTGGTCAAGAAACAGAGCATGACCAGCACCTCAGAAACCCTCCTTGTGCCCCGCTTCCATTACCGTCTTTCTGAGAGGTGGCCACCACTGATTTCTGACAGCACAAACTGGCCATACGTCTTGGGGACTTTGCTGCGTATGATTAGGCAGCATGGGCTCTGGTGTTGAATGGAGAGGTATTCAGATCTCTTATTTTATGAAGAACCAGAATATGCCCCCCCCAACCCTGTTTTCACTCAAATTCCACAGGGGACCCAGCCCTATAGAATAAAATCAGAGGCACTAAGGGCTGGAGAGGAAGTGGTGAGGTCTGAAGTCAGCTGTCCCTGTGCTAGCTGTACAACAAGCTTGCATGATGCCAGGCCTCCCCAGAACAGTCTGGAAAAACCCTAGCCTAAGGGCCGGGGATTTAGCTCAGTGGTTCCGCCCCCTGCCTCACAAGTGCAAGGATCCAAGTTCGATCCCCGGTACCAAAAAAAACCAAAACAAAACCCTAGCCTAGCCAGGAAACCTGGGTTAGAGTTTTATTCTCCACCCACCCCCACCCCACCCCCGGTACTGGGGATCGAACTTGGGACCTTGCACTTTCGAGATAGGCAGTGGAACCACTGAGCTAAATCTCCGGCCCTTTATTTCATTTTTGTGACCTTGGCCAAGTCATTCATGTTCACTGGGCCCATATGCCTCCCTTGGAGTGTGAAGATTATGAGTGTCCCTTCTGATGAGGCTTGAAAATGGGCTGTGGGAACACACTCTGGCCAAAGGTTGGTCGCTGCACTCGTGGAGGCCTGGGGGAAGCCGTGTCTTCTGGTGGCTGGTCCTTGGCTGGGTGTCTGATCCTATACCCTTCTTGCAGACCGGCATGGGCTGCAGGAGCCGAGGCGGGTGGAGGAGCTACAGAACCGAATTGCCAGCTGCCTGAAGGAGCACATGGCAGCCGTGGCAGGTGAGCCCCAGCCAGCCAGCTGCCTGTCACGTCTGTTGGGCAAACTGCCCGAGCTGCGGACCCTGTGCACCCAGGGCCTACAGCGTATCTTCTACCTCAAGTTGGAGGACTTGGTGCCCCCTCCACCCATCGTCGACAAGATCTTTATGGATACCCTGCCCTTCTGACCCTGGCCCCAAGCATGTGTGCACGCCTATGTGCACTCTTACGTCACCCCACGTGCCTTCAATCCACGGACCCCCCAGGGCATCCTCCGGCTTGGGCTCGGGCTGCAGACTGACGCACCTCCTGCCCTGCTCTAGGAGGTAGCAAGGAGCTCAAGTCCTGGGAAGGGGGATGCATTCATGGGGGTGACCCGACTGTTTGTCTTATCCCCCCAGCCCAGCCCTGGCCTTCATGTTTTTTGTAAGATAAACCATTTTTAACACATGCCGCTGTGCTGTAAATAAGCCGAATGCTGCTGTAAATACAGGAAGGAAGAGGCGGAGGTGGGGGCTGGGAGGAAAGGACGGGGCCCCCACCAGCCCGGGCAAACCTCGCCAGCCTCCTTCGACTTGCTCCCTCTTCCCACCCTCCTTCCACGTGTACATACACTGTCACTCAAGGAAGAAGACAAATGACAGATTCTGACATTTATATTTGTGTATTTTTCTTGGATTTATAGTATGTGACTTTTCCGATGAATATATTTAATATATTGAATAAAAAATAGACATGTAGCTAAAAGTGGGATTGTCTGCCTCTGACATCCACTACATACATCCATGAGACATGAGACAGAGGAGTGGCTCTGGGCGGGTCTTGGATGTTACCAACTTGAACTAACAGGCCTCAGTTTCCCCGTTTGTAGAAGGCAAATCATGCTGACACCTGCTTCGTGAGGCTATTATGCAAAACGTTTGTGCTGTTTTCCTTTTTTTTTTTTTTTTTTCCAGTACTGGGGATCGAACTTAGGACCTTTCGCTTGCCAAGCAGGTGCCATGCCTCTGAGCTAAATCCTCGCCTGTTTCTAATGGGTGGAAAGTCTCCACTACCCCCCCCCCAGGGATTTGATTGAATCCAGGGCCTCACAATGCCAGGCTATTGCTGTGCTGCTAAGCTATACCCTCAGCGCTCTAATTCTTGGGTTTCCACATCTGTGAAAAAGAATAGACCCCCCCCCCCCGCCTCACAGAGCTGTAGGACTAGAGTGTGTTTGTATAGTGCTTAGCATGGGGGTGGGTAGAGGAGAACTCAAATCGGTAGTAGCTAATGTTGCTTAGTTTAAATTTTGTTTCATCCACATTCTCAACATTCTCCCTACCCCTGCAGCAGGCCCCATATAGCTGGTATCCCTGGTCTTGGCAAGAAAATTGTTCTGAGACTTTCATCTATGTCCAAGTGCCTCCGTACAGGTTCGACTCTTTCCCTAGCTCATCAGTTGCTTAGTCAGCTGGCTTAAAAATGCAGATTCCTGGGCTCTATTCCTCAGAGACAGATTTGTTGATGGATGAGGCCCATTATTACATCCTTTAGCTGCCATCCAGATCTGGGGGCTGGTCACCCTTTTGGAGCTGGCGCCTTCTCTGCTGTGCTCAGTACCCACCCAGCTTCATCACTCCTTGGACCCGTAGGAGCCTTGCAGGTAGTGTTTTCACACCTGCTCACGAGCCCTGGCCCAGGACCTGAGTCTCCACTTGCAAGGGCCCTGGGTACAGGCTGGATAGGGGCAACTTCACTGCATGTGAGTTCGGCAACATAGGCTCTGTTCTAGAGCAGGGGAGAAGCCAGCACCTTCCCCGGTACTCCCCAGCCATATGCCCTCACTTGGGTCCTGGGAATGCAGTCCAGCTTCAGCCTTCTGAAAGTCTGCATGTGCCCAGCAGTACTGTGAACTTCCAAGCATGCATCCCTGGCATGTGTGTCTTAGTCCCTGAGTACACTTGGTCAACAGCACCAGCACCCAAAGGGGGGATGGGTAGGGGTGCAGTCAGCAGCTGCCCCTCAGGTTTGCCTCCACCAGCCTGCTGCTGCCAGAGAAGCCCCTCTTCCTCACTGAGCCTCAGTTTTCCTGTACAGTTTGGGGGGGTGACAAAGCTCTGGTTAGGGACAGAGCTTGCTGGGAACCTCCCCCGTTGCGGCTGGACTGAGTCCCTCTGACTTTGGGTCACTCTCCTCCAGGCGCCTTTAGCACAGACAGATACGCAGACAGGGCAGGCCCCTGGGGAAGGCAGGGGGACTACAGTCCTTAGGTGCTTGGGGTGGAGCCAGAGGCTGGGAATGGGTGGGGCCGAGGAGAATCTTGGTCTCAGGAGTTCTCAAAACCCTGTTGTGATGATAATAGCTACAGGCTAGCTCCTTCTCAGGTGTTTATTATTTCCGGCCCTCAATACCACTCAGGGAAGGAAGCATGATTATCCCCACCTCACAGGTGTGGACTGAGTAGCGTGGTAAAAAGCAAGTACTCTGGATCCAGATTCCCTTAAATCTTGGCTCCAGGGCTGGAGGTGTAACTCAAAGATAAAGCACATGAGAGCTCAGTGTGCAGGAGGCCAGCACACACAGGTGCACTCACAAATAAATGCACACAGAGGAAGTAAAAGAAGAAAATCCTAGGGCCGGGGATTTAGCTCGGTGGTTTTGCTGCGTGCCTTGAAAGCACAAGTTCCCAAGTTTGATCCCCAGTACCAAAAAAAAAAAAAAAAAACACAAAAACTCGTGGAGCTAGCAATTTAGATTTTTTTTTTAAAGTTTTTTTTTTTTCTGAGACAGGGTCTCAGTTTGGAATTCATGCTGGCTTTGAACTCACTATGCAGCCCAGGTTGGCCCTGAACTCGAAGCAATCCCCCTGCCTCAGCCTCCCAAGTGCTGGGAATACAGGCCTGTGTCACCACCACCACCCTTCCATAGCGCTTACTAGCTGGGTAATATTGGGGAAGTTACTTAACCTTTCTGTGCCTCAGTATTTTCATCTATAAATGAGAAAAAATTGTACCTCTTTCATAGAGTTGCTGTAAGGATTACATGAGTGAATACAAATAAAGTGTCTCGAATGGTGCCTGGCATGTAAACACCCAATAAATATTAGCTATTTTTCCAAAAGAGGGTAATCCGGAGAAAAGGAAGTGACTTACCCAAGGTCACTTGGCTTCTAAGTAGCTGATTGGCTGTGTCTGGCTACTTAACCACTAGATCTCCCATCCCAGTGCCTTGCAAATAAAAGCTGCATTGGTGGCAAATCCTTTCCAGGACTCTGGCAACTGGGGTGGGGGTGCTGACCCTCCAGCCCCACCCTGCCCCGCCCAGCTGGAGGCTGGAGGCTGGAGGCAGGCTCTTTCTTTCCACTCAGCAACTGAAGGAACTGGCCTCCAAATCTCGCTAGGGGCCCCTGAGTGCGAACAAGGGGGCATTGAGCCTGGTGGGGCCTCACAATGGCTGCTCTGTCCCTGCTGGCCGGGGGCTGGGCCCATTTCCGACAGGGACAATAGTCAAAAGGCAATGACGCCGGCAGGGCCTGGAATCCCGGGCGGGATTTTCCAAGGCCTCAAAGCCTGCTGTTTGTCCTTACTCGCAGACTCAGGAAGCCTGCCTCCCTGTCTCCCCACCCCGCCCACGCTGGGCCCTGTGCCCAGAGGCCCTGGACCCCTCCTCAGCCTTCAGATGCCATCATGACTCAGGAGGGGTGGTCTGGGGATAAGGTGGGGAGGGACCCTGTATACCGAGGAGTCCCTGCCCACGCCCTTCTCTGGGGTGTGTGGTGGAGGAAGCTGCTCCATACCTGGGCTCTAGCCACCAGGTCTTGGTTGTGGAGAGAGGTGGTGAAGGTCAGCCTCAGGAGGCTAGGGGTTTCTGAAGCTCATGGGCAAGTATGGTCCATTCTGTATCCAGTATGCTGAGCTTCATGGCAGCAGCTATGCGGTACAAGAGTGTGGTGTATGCCTATAATTTCAGTACTGGGGAGGCTGAGGCAGGAGGGTTGCTGTGGGTTCAAGGCCAGTTTGAATTACTCATCGAGACCCTGTCTCCAACAAACAAAAGGTTGAGCCCAGCCCAGGCAAATTAGGAAGAACCTGCCTCAAAAACTCAAAAAGGCCAGGGATATAACTCAGTGATAGAGTGCTTTCCTGGAATGCAGGAAGTCCTGGGTTCAATTTCCTGCACCACAAAAAACAAAACACACACACAAACCAAGAGGGAACCCTGAGAGAGCCTGTCAGAGATGAGACGTGTGTGGTGACTGGATGGTGAGCGGCAATGGCCTTCACAGCCAGGAGGCAACTGTGTGGCACATGTCTGAGCTGTGTCCTGGCTGAGGGCAATGCTGGGTGGCCCTTGTGTGAAAGCTGGGCCCAGGACTCCAGAAAGCATAAGCTTAGAAATCTGGGTGAGCCCCGGCCCCTTCCCCACAAGCCCCTGGACTGGGCCTCCTCGGGACGGAGCTGAAGGGTGAGTAAGCCTCCGTCCGCCCTGCTTCCAACCCGAAGACCCACTGCTCACCTAGCAGCTTTTCAGGCTGCAGGCTCTGCCGGAAACTCTGCCTCAGCCCCGCTCCAGCCTCAGGCTCTCAGGCTTCGGCCCAGGCCCCCACTCCCGGGGTGCGGTTAGATTTTGGAACCTTGGCCCCTGCAGTAGGTACAGGAAAGAGTCAGTGCCAGGCTGAGTTGTGTGCAGCCCCTCACTCCTCCATGGTTCTTGCCCCTTCTGAGGGCAGGAGGGCCATTCCAGGCTCCCCAGCTGGCTTCAGAGCTGGCCCGGGGCTTGCAGCATCCTAGAGGCTTAGGCCCTGCCTTCTGCCACCCGCCTACTACTCTGTGCCCTTTCTCTGCTCCTCTGCCCCACCACCCTGGCTCCCCCTGGCCTCCCACTGGGCCCTGACCCTGTCCAGCTGGGGGGGGGTCACTTAAAGTCTCCTCAAGGTCTGACCCAGGCACTGGCACTGTCCAGCCTCGACTTGGGACCATAAATCAGGCTCAGCGAGGCCGCGGGGGTGGTGTGGGGGGGGGGCAACTGGGCTAGGGAGGGGAGTGCGGTGTGGGGGGCTGTCCTGGTACACGCCGGCCGCCTTAGCAGGGAACAGTGCCCAGCTGCAAGCCTGGAGGGCTGGGTGCTGACTGGCGCCGCCCCGCCTAGCCTGGTGCCCCCACCCAGGGAGCCTAGCCTTGGGGCGACCAAGCAGGAACCCTGAACCCTAACCCAGAGAGTCGGAGGTAACTGAAATACTATGAGGACAGTTACAGAGATGCCCCCCGGGGTAGATACAGACCCTCCCCTACCAGGGTGGATAACAACCATTCCCCTTCCCAGGGACAGTCAGAGATTCCTTTACCCCAAGAATGACGGATATACACACACTTCCCAACGGAGAGATGCACAGCCCTTGCGGGGAGGGACTGTCTCCCTAGGGACACAGGCCCCAAAATAAAGCCCTACCCCTACCTCAGCCAGGCTAGACAAACACAGACCTTGCCTGAGAACACAACACAGCTTTACCCCAACACGGAGGACCGATCCCCAGATGTTAGCAGGGCAGACAGCAGACATACACCCCAGCCTGGTCTCGGCCTAGAGGCTGCCTGATGAGGTTAGCGGGTTGGACCTGGGAGGAACCTCTTTCTCACGCCCTCTGCCACTTTCTCTGCTTTCTCCTCCGCCCAGCCATTTCCTCTGCCACAGAGGGCGGGGACTGGGAGCAACATCCTAGAGAGGGTGGGAGGTGGAGGAGCTCCTGCCTAGGACCTCAGGGAGCAGAAGTCAGAAGGAGACAGCTGGTCCTCTTCGCCCCTGAGGCCTGGCCCCAGCCGGGGGTCAGCAGACAGGGTGCTGGCTATCCAGCCAGGCTGGCCACCATCCGGAGCCCCTGGCCTGACGTCAGTCCCACTCACTGTTGTTTCTGGGGCTTGAGTCACTCCCTGTGACGCCACTGGGGTCAGCTCTGGAGCGGCTAGGGTGGCCTTCAGGGCCAGCTTTGGGGCTCAGCTCTCCCCTGGGTGCACCCCAGGATGAGGTGGGGCCATCTGAGGCCACACTCACCAGGCAACGTCAGCTGCCTACACCCAAGGTCTTGAGTTGGCCTTCAAGGTCCTCCACAGGCCTTTGCTGCAGGCGTGGCTAAGAGAGCCCTGGTGAGAGGCCTGTCTGGCTAGCTGGGGCTCTGGGCTCTGGCCGAGAAGTGCTCTGCTCCCTCTCTGCTCTCCTCTCGGGCCTTGGAACCCTGATCCGTTCTCAGCCCTCCGTGAAACCTCTCCCTCCAGCCTTGGATTTCCCTTTTCTAGAAAGTGGTCCCAGAATAATCCCCCAGATATCCCCTTTTTCCTGGAACCCGAGCCCCCTGCCCTGCCCATCAGGTTGTTGTCCTGTATTCTCTGCGGCCGTCCTGGTTTTCTTCTGGTGCCAAGGCACTCCCTAACTTGTTGAGAGCAGGGATGGGAACTGCTCCTCACTCTCAATGTGTCACTTTTCTCTTCCATCACACTATCTCTCTGGGATGGCAGCAGTAGCCTCCATTCTGGCCACCTCTGCCCCCTACAGAACCTACTGTCATTTCTTGCATACCATTTGTTAGGTTTTCTTGCCCAGGTATAGCCACTGGTCCATTTCTTCTGTAAGACTTGGAGCTTCCAGAGGGCTACAATTGTGAATCGTCCCATTGGTATTACAGGTATTACATGGGCGTAACATACACACAGTTCTATGTGTGTATGAAGAATTGCTTTTTTTTTTTTTTTTTAGACACAGTCCTCCTATGTAGCCCAGGCTGGCCTCGGACTCATGACCCTCCTGCCTCAGTCTCCCAAGTGCTGGGATTACAGAATGCATCCCAACACCTGGCAACAATTGGATCTTGATTATCATGAGTAAGGATATAGGATGGGAGAATTCACCTAACAGTCTCACACTTTTTGGCCAAGACCACTTCCCTGACCAGAAGACTCAGATGGGAGTGGGCCCTTGTGTCTGAACTTTGAGGAGAACTGCCCTGAAAGAATTCAGGGAAGTACAAGGCAAGCAAGGCTTGACCACCTGGTGAGACCAGAGAGGCAAGAGGACAGTTGCACAAGGAAAGGTTCTTTGGGAGGGATGAATTTTGCAGTAGGGACAAGGGTGGTAAAAAACTAGTGGAGTTGAGCATGGTGGTGCATGCCTGTAATCTCAGCACTAGGGAGTTCAAGCTTAGCCTGGGCTATCTATCTGGTTTCAAGGTCAACCTGGACTGTTTAGTAAGATCTTGTCCCAAAAAGCAAAAAGCTGGTGGGGCATGGTAGTGAATGCCTATGAGCCCAGCATTTGGGAGGCTGAGGCAGGAGGATAGCTTCAAGTTTGAGGCCAGCCTGGGCTACATAGTGAGTTCAAGACCACTTAATTACATAGTAAGACCCTGTCTCAAAAAAAAACCCCAACAAAAACCAACAACAACACCAAAAAGAAAAACTGGGCATGGTGGTACACACCTCTAATCCCAGCACTCTGGAAGCCTGAGGCAGGAGGATCACAAGTTCTAGCCAAGCCTGAGCAATTCAGCAATTTAGTGAGATCTTGTATTAAAAAAAGGATGGAGGGGATCTGGGGCTATAGCTCAGTGCAAAGGCCCTGGGTTCTATCCCCCACACAGGCCCCCACCCTCATAATGGAACAAAGAAAGAGGAATTGTGCGGCCTTGGTGAGTATAGTAGTCAAGGATTTCAGAAACACAGAACTAAGAGGACACATACATACATGGGAGGGAGTCAGATAGAGATTTATTATGAGAAGGCTGACACATCCCAAGATCTGAAGTCAGCAAGTGGAGAACTAGAAAAGCTGATGGTGTAGTTCCTGTCTGAATGCAAGAAAGGACTGATGTCCCAGGCCTACAGCAGCTAAAGGGACTTCCCCTTACTCACAGGCGAGTTGGGCTTTTGGGTCTACCAGGCTTTCATCTGATTGAGTAGGGCCCACTCACGCTAGGGAGGGCCACCCACTTTGATCAGTCTACCAATCCAGACATTAATTTTTTTTTTTTTCCAGTACTGGGGATTGAACTCAGGACCTTGAGCTTATGAGGCATGTGGGGCACCACTGAGCTAAATCCCCGGCCCCAGACATTAATCTTACCTGAAACACCTTCACAGACACAACTAGAATGTCTGGGCCTCCTGTCCCAGGCAAGTTGACACATACAATTACAGTAAGTCACTGCATTTCACTAAGTCTCCATTTCATTATCTGTAAACTGGGGGTGGGGGTAGAATTGTATTTACATGAAAGGTCCATGGTGGGAGAGATCATCACAGTAGTGACTGAAGTGCTGGCATAAGAATTAGTGAGGCTTGATGATGATGATGACGTCAGGATGGTGGCAGCAAGAGGCTTGAGACAGTGTGTCAGGTAGGTAGAGGTCAGTCATTCCCCTCACTCACTGGCAGGATCTGGGGGTTGGGCTCTGGTTCCTCTTCTGTGGCAGGGTTGGTCCCAGGCTCTCTGGGTCCCCAAGCCCCTTCAGCTTCTCACAGGCATCACCTTTCAAAATCTTTCTCCTGATGTTCTCCTACTTTTGTGTATGCTCTGGAAAAGTTGGCTGGGGGCTACCCAGGGAGAGGTACTCATACCTGGGACAGAGGCAAGGGCTGAAGAAGAGCAAATCCATGGGGAGGAAGGAAGGGTACCAGGAACAGATGAGAGGGAGGAGGTGGGTGGGCAGCTAGGTTTGGAAGAAGAGGAGGGAAGGGAGGCCTAGGGCAGTGACAGTGACAGTGGTGTGCTGGAGCCAGTTGTACTGACACTTAGGAGCCTGTCGCACCCCTGGTGATAAAGATGCAATCATTCAGCCACTCATGGTGATATACACCTGTAATCCCAGCACTCTGGGAAGATGAGGCAGGAGGATTGAAAATTGGAGTCCAGCCTGGGTAATTTAGGGACTTAGTGAGATCCTGCCCCCTCCCCCAATATATATTTTTGGTACCAGGGATCGAACTCGGGTCCTTGGGCTTGTGAGGCAGACGGCTGAGCTAAATCCCTGGCCCAATAAAAATATTTTTTAAAAAGTTGGAATGTAGGTTAGTGGGAAGGCCCTGGGTTCAATCCTCAGTCCTGGGGAAAAAAATGATGCAATCAATCATTCATTCCAGATTCTGAATTCAGTGGTATCCTGTAGGTTGAAATTGGTATGGTAGAAAGCTTGCAAAAATGCTACAAATCAAGCTTGGCATGGTGGAGCCAGTCACTTGTAATCCCAGCACGTAGGAGGCTGAGGCAGGAATATTGCTGAGAGTTCTAGGCCCGCTTGGGCACCATAGTGAGTTCCAGGGCAACCTGGCCTACATTTATAAAAAAGAAAAAAACAAGCCAGAAATCAAGGCAGTTCCCTATTAAGAGTGTAGGTCAGTACACTACTACTGGGTGGGCTATATATTAGAGAGTGGTAGTGCATGGGGAGGGCCCTGCTAGAGGTCAGAAAGAGAATGTTTTGGTTTTTGTTTGTTTTGTTTTTGAGACAGGGTCTTGCTATGCAGTTCAGGCTGGCCTCCAACTCACAGCAACCCTCCTGCCTCAGCCTCCCGACTGCTGGGATTACAGGTGTAAGCCACCACACCAAGTTTAGAATCATGCCCTTTTCGTGCCACTCAATAAATGTTACCTAAAAAAAAAAAAAGTTACCTATTACTGTTCTGGAAGATAACGTGTGTTTGGAAAAAGAGGTATTTTAATCCTCAAGTTAAACAACTCAAGAGTGCCCCCTGTTGGAGGGAGCCTACTAGGTTCTAGCAGCAATTGACAAATCCTACCATCTGTGAAGAACCAACCAAGCTTCCAGGCAGTTACACAGCACTAACAGTGCAGTCATATTCACAGAACACTTCAAGAGTCACAAAGGACTTTCATGTGCGTTATTGCTTGGGATTCTCACATCAGCTGCCTGTTTATAGAGGAAATCAGAAAGGATGCGTGATATCAGAGAAGCAATGGCCGAATTATAAGCTGTACAAGAACTGTCACTAGATCAGGCATGGTAGAGGATCAAGTGGTGCTGCAGTATGAAGATAACCCTCAGAAAGATTAACCCCCTTTCTCCTGTACCTCTGTGTGGGTTGAAGGTCAGGGATCCTGCCCATTAAGTACGTTGGACAAACACAAGTTTTTGCCATCCATTCGGCGTCAGGCAGCATACCGGTGTGCGCTCATTGTCAGGATTCTGGTTATGCCCCTGAATTCAGTTTATGGCCCTGAATTTATGGGGATCGGTGCCTTTTCCTGGGCTCTCAGCCAAGGGTCCCGGATCATTTTCTTCAAAGGGCTCAATTCATCGGTGTGACATCTCTCGGCCGAGGGAGGCAGCGTAGGGCCCGTCTGGCCCCTCCTTCCATACCGTCTCTATGGCGGAAGTGATTTGCTCCAGACAAAACAACAGTCTCGCTGGTGGGAGTGAGTGGACTCGTCCAAATAAGGGGGATACTTCTTACCATGAGGCCTAACGGTCCGAGGAATAATCAAGACAAAAAGAAGTACCCAAGATTTTGAGCAGAACCTGAATATGTGTGTACCTTCCTATGAGTTTCCAGATGCTGAGGGCAGCGCCAGTGGTGAGAGGCCTCGGCCGAGCCGGCCGCTCCCCAGCTGAAGGCCACAGGTGGCACGCCCCGGTTCGTCACTCACCTGGACGGTGCGAGGCTTCCGGTCCCGGCTCCCCAGTTGCTGCGGTGGTCTGGCGCCTGAACCCTGGGCTGTGTCTTGGCCCTCTGGCTACTGACCTCAGTTCGAAGAGGTAAGGAACCGTCCTAGCCGCCCGTCCCCCTTCCGGCGCGGGCGCTGGTACCTCCTGCCGCAACGGGTCTAAGAGCGCGCCTCGATCCCCCAGAGCCCGGCTAGGCTCAGCGCGGGGCGCCGCCCCCGAGACGTCCGAGAAGTCGGCTCCTCCTGGGTTCCCCGGTCTGTGGAGGACCTTGGGGAGCGGCGGCGGGGGTACGTGACTTTGGCGGTTGTCTCGGTTTTCGCTACAGAACTCAGTAGTCTTCTGTTCTTGCTTTTAGTCCGTTTCTCGAGGCTCAGCGCCGGCGCAGAGCAGCTGTGCGGAGGTCGTACCAGGGCTGGAGAAGGAAGGGCGATCAAGCCCGAGTGACCCCGCGCTCCATCCCAGACGCGTAAGGATGGGGCGGGGGGAGTGTCTTGGGTTGCATCCACACTCCAGTCAGCCTCTGCCTCTTGCAGGGACGCGACTTCCCAGGCCTTGCACTTCATTGCTCACCATAGCCGTATGGCTGGATAACTAAATGCAACTGCTCTGGGAACTGGCTGGTCAGGACTGGCTTCCTGGGGAAGTGGGTTCTGGAATAACACCGAGACTGAGGAAAGACCCTGAACTTGGGGCCAAAGTGAGGAGGTGTATGGCCTGTACAAAGGTTTGTGGGGGACCCACAAAGGGAAAGTTAAGGAGGAAAGGGGACTGGACTAGAGCTTGGAATCTCTAGGTGGGAAACAGTTGGATGGAGTTAAAACTAGAGGGCAGGTAATGGCAAGAAAGCCATCTCACCCTTGATGGAAGAGAAACCAACACAGCAACTCCTAGAAGGACCTGGAATTCCTGGGTCAGGATGCATTCCACTAGGTACTAGGAGAAGAGAAGTAATGTCAAACAAGTGTGTTTATGGTGACTGAGAACCTTCAACTTGTAGAATGAGTGAGAAGTGACTCTGACAGAAGAGCTGCCCCTGAATATCAGAAAAGCTCGCTTGGGAAAGGGTGAGACTGATTTTATGTGGCTTCAGTATCAGAATAAAAACTTAATGGTTTGAAGCATGAGATAGAGTAACTGAATAGAACAGTCTAAAGATGGACTAGTGTTTTGTTTCCTTTTTTTTTTTTTAGGTACCGGGGATTGGACTCGGGACCTTGTGCTTTCAAGGCAGGTGGCAGCACCACTGAGCTAAATCTCTGACCGATTTTTTGTTTTTTTTGAGACAGCATCTCACTGTGTAGTTTATTTGTTTTTGTTGTTTTTTCTTTCTTTTTTTGAGTCAGGGTCTTGCTGTGTAGTTCCAGGCTGGTCTTAAACTCACTATGTAGCCCAAGCTGACCTCAGACTCTTGGCAGTCCTGCCTCAGCCTCCGTACGCCACCGTGTCTGGCTAAAAGATGGGATAGTCTTATGTGAGAAGCAGTGAATTCCCTGTCAGGGGCACTTTGCAAGCTGAACACACAGCTATGAAACTTGGCTGTTCCTCTGGGCTTTTTTTTTTTTTCCTGCTTTGATGTGTGATGGGCATGCTAGGCAAGCACTCTGCTGCTGAGCTAAATCCCAGTATGGGCTCATATTTGATTACTTACTAAGTTCTGGTTCTCAGGTCTCTTCACCTTCCAACTCTTCCTGCCACTGCTGTAGTATGGCCTGGTGTTATCTTTAGGCAATAACATAATAATGAATTATAGCAGCTAATGCTTAGTAAATGTTCAGTACTTGCCAGGTCCTGCTTTAAGTGGTTTACACATGCTAACTCATTCACTCCTTGAATAATCCTCTCAAGATAGCTGTTATTACTATTTTCTGTTACTGATGGGGAAACTGAGGCACATAAGTTTTAGGCAGCTTGCCTAAGATCACACAGGGAGTAGTGGCAGAGCTGGAGTTCCAATCCAGGGTATCTTGGGCTTTTGAGTCATTGTTCTTGACCAGTATACTGTGTTTTACATGTATTTCTTTAACTAGTCCTTGCCACATTCCTATTTTATTTTTATTTACTTATTTTTGTGGTCCTGGGGATTGAACCCATAGTTTTTGCACTGGACTGTACTCCTCCCTCCCCTTTTTTCGAGATCGGTTCACACTAAGTCAGTAAGTGCCCAGGCTTGGCTTGAACTTTGTATCCTTCTGCCTCACCCTCCTCAAGTATTACCGGGATGTACAACTACACCTGGCTCACAAATCCCTTTTTATAGGTAGAAAACAAGTTCAGAGAGGTTGACCTATTTGCTAAAGGTCCCAGAGTGTCTTAGTCATCACTATAACAAAATATCTGAGATAAACAACTTAAAAGAAGCAAAGATTTATTTTGGCCCATGGTTTCATTCCATAGTCTGCTGGCACTGTTGCTTTTGAGTCTGTGGCTAACAGGACATTGTGGTGGGAAATACAAGTTGGAACAAAGCTGTTCACCTTATGGCTGCTAGGAAACAAAAATAGGGGGCCAGGGGTCCTAGTATCCCCTGCAAAGTCACGGCACCAGTGCTTAGCTTCCTTTCACTAGGCCCTACCTCTAAGAGTTGCACCTATGGCTGGCAACCAGACCTTTAACACATGGCCTTTGAGGGACATTTAAGATCTAGACCATGACAAAGCAAGATGTAGGAGAGCTGGGAGACATGGCACACACATGTAGTCTCAGCTACTCAAGAGGCTGAGGCAGGAGGATTACTTAAGAGGCCAGGAGTTTGGGGCTGGCCTAGACAACATTTATGTATTTATTTTTGTGGTGCTAGGAATTTGCCTCTTTTTTTTTTTTTGGTACAGGGCCTTGTGCTTATGAGGCAGGCATGGTGCCACTGATCTAAATCCCTAGCCCAGGTGCTAGGAATTGAACCTAAGGCCTCAGTGCATGCTAGGCAAGCCCTGAATGACTAAGCTATATCCCTAGCTCTTTGAGGCCTGTAACTGCTATGACTATAGTGACTTCTGACGGGTTTTCTTGCCCAACTTCTTTGCCTTAAATCGCCCATTTTTACACTGGAGTCTGGATGGCCCTGGAAATGCGTGGGATTTGGTGTGTATTATGCACAGGTTTGTTTGTTTGTTTGTTTGTTTTTTGAGTCTCAAAAAAGGCCAAAGGCTGGTCTTGAACTCACTGTGGAGCCGGGGCTGGGCTTGAACTCACAGCGATCAGCTCCCAAGTGCTGAGATTACAAGTGTATGCCACCTTGCCTGGCTCAATTCAGGTTTTATTTATTTTCTATGTATGTATTTATTTATTTTTCAATTCAGGTTTTAAAGCCCATCCTGCATGGCTTTCATTGACTTCTCAAAGGAACTTGTGACCCCAAAGTAGTTACGACCCATTCTTTGCCCTTTAGTCAGAGTTAACTTTCTTATGCACAGATTTGATCTTGGCATGGCTTGCAGTGACTCTCTTCACTCTTTACAGGATAGAGTCTAAGTGTCTTAACCTGTGGTCATGCAAGTTCCCAGGACATGAGACTCTGGGTCTTTCTTTTCTTATTTCTATCTTGTTCTCTCACCACAGTGGGAACATTTACCTGCCCGTTGGTCCTGTATCCCCTCAGCTCCCGGGGCTAGGTTAGTGCCTGACAAGTGCTGCATAAGGAGCCTTTGCTGGTTGCTGCACTGAATGCTGTTAATGGAATGTAGGTCTCCACTGGCAGTTTGTACAGTAGCATTGATGCTTCTGCTGCTCTCTGACCGAGAAGGTTTGTGATTTTCTGATAGCATGTGCTCTCAGAGTGTAGGGCACAGCAGAGGCAGGGGCTGAGCTGAACTGAGCAGGAAGTGAACAGGGATGTGCAGATGGTTCATATGATGTCAGCATTCTGACCTGGGCTCCTCTTGCAGGTGGCCCCTGGGTGGGGCAAAGTTCCCTGTTTTTATCCCAAGCCCCCGTCCTGGTGTGGGCCACTGGCTGCAGGATGAACTGTCGCTCAGAGGTGCTGGAGGTGTCGGTGGAGGGACGGCAGGTGGAGGAGGCCATGTTGGCTGTGCTGCACACAGTGCTCCTGCACCGAAGCACGGGCAAGTTCCACTACAAGAAGGAAGGCACCTACTCCATCGGTACTGTGGGCACCCAGGATGTTGACTGTGACTTCATTGATTTCACCTATGTGCGAGTGTCCTCTGAGGAGCTGGACCGTGCCCTGCGCAAGGTTGTCGGGGAGTTCAAGGTAGGGGAATGGTACAGCTGATGGTAGGCAATGGTAGGTGGAGCTGGAATATCTCTCTACGTAGGCTGGCTTGGACCTGCTTACCCTTCCTGGAAGTGTGGATTGGGTTCTTTCAGGCAGAAAGGTACAGGCATATTGAGAGCTCTTCCTGGGGTAGGAGGGCTTATGTGTCAGGGTAGGGTGGGGTGGGATGGGGTGGGCGAAGGATGCCTGCACAGATACTTGGGGGAGAAGGGAGAGCAGGAAGCCAATGTGGTCAGGTCCCTTTGGCAGATGAGGGTCATTGCTCCTGCGGTCTTGACTTTCTCTGGCTCCACAACTCTTAGGACACCTCTCTGCTTGCTCTGCTCCTGCTCCCACTCACGCCTCTCTCTCTCTTCCTTCCTTCCTTCCCCTCCCCTTCCCCCTTCCCCCTTTTTTCTTGCGTTGAACCCAGGGCCTTCACACGGAGCTACAGCCCCAGCCCAGCTCAATGAGTCTTATATTGAATAAATTGTAAAATTTGGTAAAATTGTCAGATTGTTATCTTAGAAAAATTAGTTAAACATTTGCAATTTTTGGTCCTCCTGTATTTAAATAATTGGACTTCTAAGTGGTTAACAAAGCTGATGCCGGGCGTGGTGCTGCACACCTGTAAAATCCCAGCAATCAGGAGGCTGAGGCAGGAGGATCACTGAGTTTGAGGCCAGCCTTTGCTATATAGCAAGACCCTGTCTCAAGCAAGCAAACAAACAAACAGATAGAAAGCTGAAGGAGTTGGGCTTGGAGGCATATGATATTGATTTGCATGAACCATTCAGGTTTAGGCTGGAAGTATGCTGTGTCACCTTACACAAATCCTTTGCCTTCTCTGAATCTCATTCTCTGCCATGTCTGAAGGACTAAGAGCTAGAGGGGTGTAATTTCCTGGGGCTTAGGAAGTAGACACTGGCAGGGTGAGAGCTCTTCAAAGGCTTTGGCCCGATCATCTGTAATCTCTTCTTCCCCAGGATGCACTGCGAAACTCGGGTGGTGATGGGTTGGGGCAGATGTCCTTGGAGTTCTATCAGAAAAAGAAATCTCGGTGGCCTTTCTCAGATGAGTGTATCCCATGGGAAGTGTGGACAGTCAAGGTGCATGTGGTGGCTCTGGCCACGGAGCAGGAGCGGCAGATCTGCCGGGAGAAGGTGGGTGAGAAGCTCTGCGAGAAGATCATCAACATTGTGGAGGTGATGAACCGGCATGAATACCTGCCCAAGATGCCCACACAGTCGGAGGTGGACAACGTGTTTGACACAGGCTTGCGGGATGTGCAGCCCTACCTTTACAAGATCTCCTTTCAGATCACTGATGCCCTGGGTACCTCAGTCACCACCACCATGCGCAGGCTTATCAAAGACACCCTTGCCCTGTAGGCCTGCTGGAGTTGTGGGAGCTCCTTTGTGGCTTCCAGGGACTGTACTGTCAGGCCCTTGGGAGTCTGACCCGGCTCTGGGTTCTTGGTGAGACTTGGAAAGGGTGGCCCTTGGCTTGTTTTGTGGTTGCCAGCCTCTGGTCATCCCTGAACCTTTGCTGGCAGTCATGTTCTGCTTACAGTCTCTTCACTCCCTTGGAGAGGATCCCCTTTTGTTCTCCACTGTACAGAAGAGCCACCACGAGGATGGTAATAAAGCTGAGACATGAGTTTGGGTTCATCCTCAATCATTAAGACTTCCTGGTGTTCCTTCAGGGACACAGGTGTGAGCAGGAACGTGACTCCAAGCTGAGGGGATGGATGGATGGGATTAAAGACAGATTAAAACTGATGTAATTTGCACTTTGTTGGACATTCACACAGTCAGATGTTACCCACAGAGTGTGACCGTGATTAGTCCCATGAATGACAGCATGGGGTAAGGGCCTGTTGCTTTTGGATGTGACTGAGCTATTTCCTCGAAGGGGAAGCCATGACATCCCTGGCCTTCATATTATCTGGTCTTACTTCATGGTACCCCAAAGAATGTCTTCTCTGTGGCCATAGAGCACACACAGGTCCCTAGCTACACCAGAAAAGTCATTTGATGTCGGTGTCTTGGGAGAGCCTGGCCAGCTTGCAGTGGTGGTACTTCTTCCAGCCTGGACTGCCTTTGCTGATTGTTAGAGCATTACTTTGGTAACTCACCCATTTTTACACAAGCATACTCAAAGCCTTCCTCATGTGCTATGTTTCTATGGATTTGTTTTCTGTTTTGCAATGCTCTTTGACTCCATCTTCAGCAGTTTTAATCTGACTAAATGAATTGTGTGTTAGAAGGTGTGCTGGGGGGATGTGGGAGAAGTTGTCTTACCAATGGTCCTTACCATTGTCTTACCAATGTCTTACCAATGGAGGCAGGGTAGGTAGCCAGGATAGCCAGGAAGAGTTTATATTTTTTTCCCATGCCACGCTCTTTGGCCTCAGGCTGTTTCCTGACTGAGGTTTTGTGATGTCCTCTGGCATCAGAGAGTTGAAGAACTGGGAGGGGATTTGGGGATGGGGAAGACCCTTTCCAACAAGTCCTTGATGGTCTGTAGCCCCCATGTGGCCTGCTGCAGTCTGAGGGGCCTTCCTGTTTTCCTTCATAGGTATTGACTGATACAGATGTTTCCCAGCAGGGACTATTTTCAAAAAGAAGACACAGCTGGGTGTGGTGGTGCATACCTATCATCCTAGTGCAATCCCAGGAGGATTGCGGGTTCAAGCCCAGCCCAGGGAATTTAGTGAGACCCTATCTCAAAACAATAAGTAAGTAAGTAAATAAATAAATAAATAGGGAAAGAGGGCTGGGAATGTAGCTCAGTGCAAAGGCCCTGTGTTCAGTCCCCAGTAACACACACACACACACACACACACACACGACTCAAAGATCGTTGCCAGGCATGGTGGCACACACCTATAATCCCAGTACTTGGGAGGCAGAGACAGGAGGATTCTCATGAGTTTGAGGCCAGCCTGGGCTACTTAGTTCAAGGCCAGCTTGAACGACATAGTAAGACCCTGTCTCAAAAAAAAGGATTTCCCAGGAGACTTGAGTACTTGTGTCTTGCTTCCATCCTGGCTTTTCTTTTGTGTGTCCAGACTCTGCTCTACTCTCCCACCCTGTCTGGGTTCTGGGACACACAGCTGGCAGTGGGACTGTAACATCCCATCCCCTTTGGCTTTGAGATACCCCTGAGGTGAGAGATGAGAACCCTGGTGTGAAGGTCTGTGGCTTCTTATCGCTGTAGAGGTAAATAGGCCTGTGGACAGAAGGAGCATGAGGGGCCTTGAGTTACACTGATCTGCCCTCCCTCTCTCCGTGCCTTGGGGTTTCCAGGAAGCATTGGTCTGCCTGTCTATTCCAGGGGAAACTTGGATCCTTAAGGCTTCCCATTTGCCTTGTGTCCCAGCAGCCCCTTGAGCCACCTAGCAGACTTTGGTCCAGGACAGAAGACCCTTGTGTGTGTCCTGTGGAGTGGCAGCACCCCAGCCAATGTCTGGGTGGGATTTGAGGATCTCAGGGAGGTGCTGGCTCTTGGCCTTTGCCGAGGAAGGAGAATTGTGTCCAGGGTTCCTGGGTTTGGTTGGCTGGCTGTGCATAGGTGAGCATGTGAGACTTGGGAGGAGAAATAGGCTGGGTCCGGGGATCTCCCTGGGGAGAAGGGACCATAGTCCACACTGGAGGAGCCATCTGTAAAGGAGGGGCCTGAGCACTGTTTGCAAGGGGCCCAGAGACACGCCTCTAAGGTCCCTCCCCTACTGAGCCACACGCCCACTGGCCAGTTGGAGCTCTTGCATATCTGGTGTCCTGCACACATCTGGGCAGGGGGCACTGGAGCATGAACAGCTCACAGGCAGACAGTGTGGCCCAAGCTGCTTGGCTGAGCTCCTGCTGCAACCAGTCTGGGGCACTGCCAGAGTCCCTGGAGGGGCCTCCAGTGGTGCAGGCTGTGGTGCTGGGCGTGCTGTCGCTGCTTGTGCTCTGCGGGGTCCTGTTCCTGGGCGGCAACCTCCTTGTCCGAGCCCATGGCCTGACAGCGCTGCTGGCTTATGAGCGGCGTGCATCCCTTGAGGCTGAGACCAGTGGAGGTGACAACTAGGTGCCAGGCCGTGTTGGGGTTTGCATGCCTTACACCTGCGAGAGAGGCCTTTCCCCCATGCTAGAGTTTGGGGCACAGGTGAGAGGGCCAGGGTGGAGAGAGTAGGGCTGGGGCGGGGCACGATGACCACCTTCCTATTGAGGGCTCCTCTGGGTGCAGCTAGTCACCTGGAGAACCAGCCCTTCAGCAAGGCTGATCTCTAGCCCCAACCAGTCTGAGGATTGGGGCTGCAGCTTCCTACCCCATGTGGCTCTTCCTCCTGGGGACTGTCTCAGGCAGCATTGAGTCCCCTCCCATTTAAACATCCCCTTCCCTTAGGTCCTTTTTCTAGGAACAGACAGCTAAGGTGTAACGGAAAGGGGACAGCAGTTGGGTCAAAGAGGGAGTCTGGGGGGTCACAGTGTGCTTTGGATCCCTTCTTCTCATACCTATCCCTCTCCCCACTCTGCATCTGCCCCACCCCTGCAGGTACTAAAGGGCAACCCTGCTGGGCTCTAGCACTGCCCTTCGCACTGGAGGCTGGGGAGAGACTGTTGCAGGCATCTTCGGGGGGAGTGTGGCCTGCTCAGGTCTGGAGAACAGATGTCGCCCAGAGCAAGGAGCTTTGTGGTATGAGTTGGGGGTGTGTGGATGGCAAGATTGCTGGCAGCTGGGGTGCCTCAGGAGCACATTGCTGCAGGAAGTGGGGCTGAGGAGTCCCAGCTGTGGGGGCTGTGTCTGGCTCTTTTTACCTCTGTCTGGTCAAAGACAGGAACCATCTGGAAGAAAGGGCCTGGGTGGCCCAAAGGACAAGGCAACTCCAGGCCAAGGCTACCTTGCCTGGGCGGTATGTGTGGCTTTCCCTCTGCATCCCCTTTGTTCCGAGGTGCCAGGAGCTAGTGGGAGGTTCTGTGGGTGTTGCTGTTTGTTGGGGGTGACTGACCTCTCGCCCATTTCCCTCTGAGAAGCGAGAGTCTTGCTGGGTACCATGAGGAGGGCTGGTGAGGGGCAGTGGGAGGGCATGGGCAGATGCAGCTAAGCTGCTGCTTAGCTGACGACCACGTGTGATTCCTGTGGAGCAGTTCGTGACTTGGCACTTATCCTGGGCAGCTGTGCCGCAGTGGCCTTGCTACATTGACTTCTGACCTTGAGGACACCACCCCCACCCCTGGAGAGAGGGCTCTCCAGGGCTGTGAAGAGTGTGTGACTGTGCCTGGCACCAGCACCCGGCTAGGGCCAGGGGGACAGACATTCCCTCCCCCTTACCTTGCTGGGCCTTGGGTGGGGTGGGGAGAACGTCTTTTACCCAGGTTCTTCCAGCTTCTGACCTCGTGCATTCTGCTGCTTTAGCGTGTTTCCCCTCACCTTGTCCCAGCGTTCTCCTCTCCTACCCCAACTGGGATAGAGGGGCTCCAGATCCCCGGGAACCCTTTCATTTTACAAAGAGGGAAGCTCAGAGAATTGAGAAAAGCTCTGAAACTCAGACAGAAGCAAGTAGCATGCTTAAGAGAATGGCAGAGCTGGAACTGGACCTGGGGCTCATTCCTGCCCTGGGTTGCCCCTCCTGCTCTGGCCCCCCTCCCACTGTGTTCCCACACTGTTTGAGAGGCTGATGCAAAAATGTGCCCTCTCTCCAAAAGACCCACCCTTCAATACACACCTTTATGAACAGCTTGAGTCAGGGACTTGCAACCCAAGCTCCTGTCACTGCTTCCTCCTCTCTGCTTCCCCAGTGGCTTTTTCAGATACCCCCCTGCTGCCAGAACAGTCTCCCAGATGCTAGGCAGCAGCAGCTCCCCAGCCGGCTGGACTCAGCTTTCCTGGGTGGAACCTGAAGAGTGGGGAAAGACTGAGGGTTGCTAGAATAAACACCTGTGGAGAAAGTCCAGGCAGGTGGAGCTGAGGGGTGATGGCCTTGGAGTTGGTCTTTGGGTTCAAGTGTTTGGGGTGTTAGGGGTATGGTGGAGGGAAGGGCTGTGTCCCCAGCATCATCATGTCTGCTCATACCCAGGACAGGGTGAGGATCATGACGGGGTAGGCAAAGAGTTTCCTCAACTTCCTGCCTTTGCTTTTCCTTCATCATAGTGTTTGGAATGGGTGTGGGGTGTGCTGGGGACCTCAGTGTTCCTGGGGGGAAGATACTGAGATGTTTGCTTTGGAACACTGACCTTGATCAGGCTGAGTGGGGAGGAAAAGAATTTGGAAAATGGTAACGTGAGTGCTGTTGTCACTCCCTCGGGCACTGGCAGGGAGTGAGAGATGAGGGCCCAGTGTAGGTCTGAGCACCCGAAGAGCTCCATCTGCCTGTGCTGTCCATGGTGGCATAACTTTCTTCCAGCCCAAGTTCACCCTGGGCTGGAATAGGCTGCAGGGTCTATCTGACCCCTCCCTAGGCCTCACAGCAGTGCAGCTTCCTTCCAGCAAGGGAGGGGACGGCCATCTGTTACAGATTCCTGAACCTTGGTGTGGTCTGTGGTCTGCCTTCGGGAGTACTCCCCTCCAGCTGCCCTCCGGAGAACTCCTGCCACCTTTGACCCATTTGCCCCTGCACGTGACGGACTGGGAAGCACCTGGACTGTGGTGACATCCTGGGGCCCTTGTACCCAGCTGTTGCCTCTGAGCTGCTCCCCTCAACCCTCTGAAATACTGCTGGGTGTGGGGCCTGGGGGCTCTGTGCTCTAGGAATGATTACGGACTGCTGTGTGTCCTCCAGGACATGGCCACATAGACTGGGTGCTCCGTGCAAGAGATGCTGTGCCCTCTGTCCACCAGGTCTCTGGACATGAGCGCAGCCCCGTCCTGCCTGGTGCGAGCAGTGCAGATGTGAGAGGCCACTGACATGTCCCTGCTGAGGGCTACTGGTCAGTGCCACCCATTTGGAAGCCCAGGGTACCTGAGCAATCCAGAAATGCCCCATCACTTTCTATGGCTAGTTATTAAATATCCTGGTAATGCAAATTTCTGGTGTGTAGTCTGTTTCTAGCCCTTGACACTGTCGTTGGTTTGTCTTTTCCTTTGGTACTGGGGATGGAACTCAAGACCTTCTGCTTGCAAGGCAGGCATGGTGCTACTGAGCTAAATCCCTGGCCCTTTCTTGACACTTTGGATCTCAGTGTGTTGTTCAGGCTGGCCTTGGACTCACAGCAGTCTTCTGCCTCAGCCTCCCTAGTGCCGGGATCAGGGGTGTGCATCACCACACCTGGCCCTGCCCCTTGACTCTTAGTGGTTTGTTCCCTTCCCTCCAGGTTGACCTGTTTCTAGCAAATACTGAAATGCAGCCCCAACCATGACCCCTGTCCCCTTGCCTTTCCTCTCTTGTGACCTTTTCCTCCTCAGCTCCAAGTCTTTCTGGAGGTGGATTGACGCGTGCCAGCCCTTTGCTGCCTCTCTGTGGCCAGTATGTGCAAGAGCACTGCTTCCTTCTGAGTAGCTGGAGGCTGGTGCTGAGAGGAGAGTGGGTTTTGTGTGCCCTGAGCTTCAGATTGCAGACTTGCTTGAACCGCAGTCTCTCTGTCCAAGAAGTGGAAGCAGCAATGACCTGGTAAGGATCCAATAGATAAGTCTTGTCCACCGATGAGTCTGTACTATAATTAGCATGTGACAAACCTGACCATCTGCAAAGAAGAAGAAGACAGAGAAGGGAACCGCCCACTCTGTTCCTAGGAGCACTTAATTTTCATCCCTTTCAGGAGGACCTAGTGAGTGGATACTGTGGGAACGGGTCCCCAGGAGACAAACGACCAGCTCTGTCCTCCAAGAGCCCACAGTCTGGTAAAGAGTAGGGCTTACAAGGCTAGAGTTAAAATAGGCTATACAATGTGCCCGGGTGGAAAGAGCCAAGAGCATCGGGGGAACACGGCTAGCGGTTGGCAAAGGCTAACTATACAGGTGGAGTGATGAGAGGGCCTTCTCCATATAAGATGGAGCAAGAGCACCCTGGGCAGAGGGTGCTTTGGCAACTTGTGGTTAGGGTGGGAAGAGGGAGCTGAGACTTGGGCAGTGGGTGGGGCTGGCATGGCCTGGAGCTGGAGGCTGTCCCAGGGACAGCAAGGTGACTGGCGGCATTAAGCTGTGAAGTGGTATGGTAAGATCTGGATCTTCACAGGCCGGGGATACATTTGAAGGTGGGAGCAGCTGGAAGTAAAGAAGCAGCCAGGAGGCTGTTGTCAAAAACCAGCAAAATTGGAGTCACTGAAGCTTGGGCGGCAGGCTCTGGTTGCTAGTTGGATGTGAGGAAGGAAGCAGAGGTGGGGGGAGGAGGACACCCTGTTTTCTGGCCTGAATATCCGAGTGGGTGGTGATGCCTCCCACTGGGATGATCTATTACTGGCTAGGACTTTTGTGGTCTGAATTTACAGAAAACCCAAACTATTTGGCTTACACAGAAGGGAGTTTATTGGCCTGTGTAATTTAAAAGTCTAAGGGTAGTTCTGGCCTCAGGCCTGGCATAATTCAGGGCCCAAATCAAGAGAGCAGGCCTCTTATTTCTCCTTCCTTAGCTTGGTTCTGCTTGCCCCTGTGTCGGCTTTGGGTGGTATGATCTAATGGTCAAAATCAAGGATTACAAAACAAAGCAAAACAAAAAATGAGGGGTGCTAAGCTGGGCCTAGTGGTGTATGCTTGCAATCCCACCCTTGAGGGAGGCTGGGTTCAGACCCCATCTGAGCAAATTAATGAGACCTTGTCTCAAAAAAAAAATTGGGAAGGGGTTGGTAAAGTATGCCACTGAATCACACTTCAGTGCTCCCTCAGTTCATGAACTTAATTTGTTCTATGATTTTAGGGAAGATGGCCATGTTTGTGTTTGTGTGGGGAAGATGACTCAGTTGAGTTTGTCACCTGATGTGGAATTTGTGAACAGAAGCAAAATTTTATTGAACATGTTTGAGAACCAAACTGTTTGCGAACAGAAGCGTTCATGAACTGAGGCACCACTGTACCTGGATTTGAATTCTGACACCACATTTAAACTGACTGTAAAGTTCCTGAGCAAGGTACTGAACCTCTCTATGGCATACTTTCCTCATTTTCAGATTGGGGAATAATAGGACCTGACTTGTCCATCTTTTATTAGGCTGGAAAGAGATTCATGCATGTAGAGTGCAAGTGCTCAGTGCATTTCAGTGTTACTGTTCTCAGGCTCAGCATGGGTGGAAGGTTGGCTTTGTGGCCCCCTCAATTTCAAATCTATTAGGAAAGAGGGTCTGGGGGGACACCCCAAACTACAGGGTACAACTCACAGGTACAGTTCCTTATCACACCTATACCTATTCAGTCCTGAGGCAAACAGATGCTGGATGGCCATAAGCCAACCCATAGCTGCTGCAGAGGGGGCGCTGAGGAATGCAGTTCTGGTGTGTTGAATTTGGGGCACAACAGGAACATCCCAGGGGAGCTGTGAGGTGGACAGTTAGTTTGGAGCTCAGCAGAGGGAGTTCTGGGCCATGATGTTGCAAGAGATAGAAGCTGTGGAATGATGAATTAGGTTGTGGGGGGCAGCAGTCTGCAGGTGCACCCCTAGTTGACCACTGCTTAAAGGCGGGGCAGAGGCAAGGCTGGCAAGGAGAATGAGGAAGCCAGGGACCCATCTCTTGTGAGTTGGGGGAGAGAGGTTTCTGGAAACTGAGAGATTGGCCAGGAGTATTAGTGTCCCCAGAAGTTTTGAGATGCTGGGAAGGGGCCCACAGTTGGGTACCTTGGAGAAGGTGGGGAAGAGTCCAGCCTACCTGAGTACACACCCACCACTCCTCAGCTCAGCCTCCGAGAAGGAGCCCCACACAGGAGAAAGTGGTGACATGCTTTCCCAGGGCTGGAGAGCCCACTGTGGGGAGAGGGGTAGATTGATTTTTTATAGTACTCTGTTGTGCTAGTGCCACACCATGCACATGTCTCACCTAGGCGAAATAAAAACCAAAACCAGAACAAACACAAAGGTGCCTCCTCCCCTCCCACTGGCATGGCTCCTCTGCCTGCCTGTCTGCTGTGTCCTACTCAGGGCCTCCCACCTCTGAGAACCCTACTTCACATGCTGATCTTGAGGGCCACTCCTGTTCTTGCAGGAAGTCTGCTAAGGCAGACGTATTCATTAGGGTCCCTTGACATGTGGCCTCTGCTTCCACTCTGCCCCTCAGACCCTTCCTGCCCCTGCAGTTTAGATTCCATGGCCATTCTCTTGCCCGTGTCCTAGCTTCAGTTCCCTGTGGAACTGCTTCTGCAAAGCCTCAGCCATGCAGCACTCTGCTCTTTGACCTTGTGCTCTAGGCTGACTGATGGTGTTAGGAATGCTCACGTAGGCCCCTGGGACCTTTGCCACTGCCTGGCCACGGCTTCAGCCAGCTCTCTGTCCCCTCAGCTGTCTTCCTTCAAGCTTTCCCCAGGCTCAGACCCTGAGCATCCTGCCCCCAGAGGCCTGCTCAGACCCTCACCTCCTGCTTCCCAGAGAAGAGAGAAGCCAGTGGAGGAGGGCTGTGCTCCCTCCTGCCCCAGCCTGCCCTGCCAGCATCCCCCTGAATTTGGCTTCTTCAGTGGCTCCTCTGCTGGCTCTAGCATCAAAACACACTCGGGTTTCTTCTGCCTTAAAATAGCCATATTTTGCCCCCACAGCCTCCTCCAGTTACTCTCCTACAGCCAAGCTTCTCAGAACTTCCCTGCTCGCCACCCTACTTCCCAGCCTCAACTTGTCCCTCCGTCCTCCCCAGCCTGGCCTCCAGCCCTCTCTGCCCAATCACCAGATCCTGGGGAAGCTTTTCAATTTTTGTCTCAGCCTTTCCTGGTCACTTCTCCTGTGACTGACCCGTCCGTCATCCTTGCAGTGCTCCCCTGGCTTCTATGAGGTGATGTGGACAGGAGGGCATGGGCTCTGGAACACCACCAGGGGCCAAAGCCTAGGACTGCCACTCACCATGCAGCCTCTCCTCTCCCATGGTCAGGAGTGGGAGATGGTAGTACACACTCAGTGGGACTCGTGATGAGATGTGTGCTTTTCAGTCTGGGCACCTGGCCTCAAGCCCTGCCTGCGTTTAGTCCAGGCTCCCCAGCTGCTAGCTTGTTCCTCTTGGTTTGCCTCCTACCTGCCTTCCCTCTCTTCCTCCCTTCCAGCATTTCTGTCCAGGTCCTTGAGGCTCTGCACGGGTCCTCCTCCTACCCTGGCTCTTTCAGGCACTGGGATGGCTCTCTGCCTGTGGCTGTGAAGACAGCAGCCTGCCTGACCTAGCTTCTGAGGGTGCACTCTACAGAGTCCTGTGAGCAGGGTGCTGGAGAACGGTGAAGTCCCTGCCGGCAGAGCCATGTTCTGCTGCCAAAGGACATTTGATGGACCTATAAACTATAAAAAAACACATGAGGTAATTGCAGGTAGTGGTTGTGCTACAGATATGTCGCTTGGAAGGTGACATTTGAGCTGAGACCTGAACAGTGAGGAGGATCTGGCCAGACAAGGGCGGGGCGTGGTGTTCCTGCCAGCGGGACAGCATGTGAAAAGGCCTTTGGTGGGGATGAGTTTGGCCAGTCTGAGGGATGGAAAAGAGGTTAGCATGGCAGGGATTACAGAGTGAGGGGTAGAGCGGTGTGTATGTAGGCGGGTGGAAGGCAGCCAGGGCAGCTTGACCATGATGCTGACTTTGGTTCCACGTGCACCTTCTTCCCTGAGGAACCATCTCTCCTGCAGGTTCTTTTTTTTTTTTTGGTACAGGATTGAACTCAGGACCTTGCACTTGTGAGGCAGGCGCAGTGCCACTGAGCTAAACCCCCAGCCCTCCCCTGAATGTTCTTGCTCCCAGTGAGTGCGGCTATCTCCCTAACGCTGTCCCTGATTCCCTTTGCCTTTCCTCCACAGCCGTTCTGTCACCAAATATGGTCTGCTCTCCCTCTCAGAGAGCTTTGTGCCCTCTCTGCACTGGCCTCACTTCTCACTTGGTCCCCCTTGGTGTTTCAGGGCCACCCATTCTTCACTGTGCTCATGGGGATCTTTGAAAAGGGAACTGCAGCTGGTCCGCCTGTGATCCCAGCATGTGGGAGGTTGAGGGAGGAGGAGTTATCAGTTTGAGCAACTCAGTGAGTTCAAGGCCAGCCTGGACTACGTAGCAAAAACTTGTAAATAAATAAATAAAATTTCTGTCAACCCCATGGGAGTCAACCTGTTGCTCTCCCCAAATCTTTTAGTCCCCAAGTGGTGGCCCTCCTGGATTCCTGCTCCTTCCCCTGCATCTCTTCCCATTATCCCACATGTCCTCTGTCATCGTATGTCCTCTGGGCCTTGGAAAATGGTGTTCCCACCCCAGTGGGGGTGCTGTTCCTCCTTCAGGTGTGAGAGGTTCCTTCCTCAGGGAAGGCTTTCCTGACTCCCTGCAATGAGGGTCATAAGGTGTTCCCATAGCAACCTGGGATGGCCCTGGAGTCTCTCTTTGAGTGTTTAGTTGTACATGCAGTGTCCTTTTTCTGAAGTTATGCAAGCCCCGTGAGAACAGGACCCATGCCTGGATTTGTTCACTGGCTTGGCTCAGGAGTTGCTCAAGAAATAGGTGTTGAATAAATGAACAGTTGACTTTCCTTTTTCTAAATAATTAAACATTCTGTTGTGTTTTTTTTGGTACCAGGAATCAAACTCGGGACCCTGTGCTTGCGAGGCAGGTGGTGGAGCCACTGAGCTAAATCCCCGGCCCCTGTATCCATGTTCTTTACATCTCATTGGATCCCTGGACTTCACTTCATTTCCTCCGCAGATACGTACCACTGGCAGCTGCTTTGGAGGTTGAATGTCCTTCTGGGAGTTGATTGTTAGTTTCTAGGTAACACTCAGCCAGTTGACTTCTACAGAGACCCTTGGAAGGGGAGGTTGGAGAAGCATCTTCTCGGTTTGCCTGCACCTTGCAGCTGGCTCACCCACCCTCACTCATGGACCCTCACCCTACAAGATGAGACCTGGGCTGCCTGATGTTCTCCCAGCCTGTTCTGCATCAGCACAGGACCCCACCCTGTTCCTGATCTCCACAGGGTTCCTCAGCCCCTTACAGGGGGGCACGGGGGAGGGGGCATGTGCTGCTCCAGGGGATAGGCTTTGGATTCTGTCTTTGACTAGCATTCTTACTTCTTGGATCATGACTGCTTCCAGCTTCTCTGGGAAACATCGCACCTCTGATAGCCAGGTCTTGGGTCCAGTCCCAAAGCCAGCTCAGGTGGGCCAGTTCCAGGTGATGCCAAAGCCAAAGGGTTGAGGGGAGTGCACTGAAGGGCAGTGCTGTGTGTCTTTTTTCTCCTTGAATACTGAGATTGAATCCAGGGCCCATACACTGAGTTACTTCCCCAACCTCTTAAAATTTTTTTTTATTCTGAGACAGGGTCTTGCTAATTCATTAAGTTGCCCATGCTGGGCTTGAACTTGTAATTCAGGCATGTGCCACTTCACCCTTCTCAGTGCAGTAGTTTGAATGTCTCACCAAAACTCATGATGTATTATTCTTTATTATTATTATTGTTATTATTATTATTATTATTATTATTATTATTTTGGTACTGGAGATCTAATGCAGGACTTCTCTATCACTGATTTACATTCCCAGCCCTTTTTATTTTTTGAGACGGTTTTGTTAAGTTGCCCAGGCTAGGGTTGCACTTGCTAGGCAGGTGCAACAAATATTTTTTTTGGTACCAGGGATCAAAAACCCAGGACCTTGTGCTTGTGAAGCAGGTGCGGCGCCACTGAGCTAAATCCCCATCCCTTAGGCTTGCACTTTCGATGATTCTGCTACCTCAGCCTCCTCAGTAGCTGGCCTCATGTTGAAATTTAATCCCTATTAAGAAGTATTAAGTGGGCAGAAACTTAATGCAACTATACCGTTTGGAGATGGGACATTTGGGAGGTAATTAGGGTTGAATGAGGCCATAATGGTGGGTCCCTAATCAAGTGGGACTGTGGCTTTCTGAGAAGTGGAGAGAATTGAGTAGGACATTCTGTCTGGCCATGTTCTGTCTTGGGACTCTGCAGCGAGTCCCCACCAGCAAGAACAGCCTTACCATAAGTGGCTGCTTTATGTTGGACTTCTCAGCCTTTAGAACAGTGAGCCAAACAAACCTTTATCCTTTATGAATTCTTAGTCTGTGGTATTAAGTTCCAGTAAAAGAAAACAAACTAAGACAAGTGGCATATTGTTGGAGGGTTCACCTGGTCCTCGTGGGAGATTCCTAGGAGCAGGAAGGAGCAGGAGATCAGCAGCCAGATGTCAAGTCTCCAGTGGATGTCAGGGCAGTCTGCAATTCATTCCTTCATTCGTTCACTCAGTCAGTCTGCGCCTCTATTTATAAAGCACCTAACATGCCAGGCTCTGCTCCAGGCCTGCAGGTGTAGCAGTGAGCATAACAGCCAGAAGTCTCTGCCCTTGTGCTGCTTGCATTCTTTTTATTTTTTTTTTGGTGGTACCGGGGATTGAACTGAGGACCTTGCACTTGCAAGGCAGGTGCAGTGCCACTGAGCTAAATCCCTGGCCTGCTCCTTGCATTCTTGAGAAGTGGATTAGGTGATGAACTCTGTGCATAATTTAGCATAGATACAGCAGATGGTACGTTGGTGCCGAGGGCTGCTGCAACAAATGACTACAAGAGCAGAATTGATTCTCTTACAGTTCTCTAGGCTGGAAGTCCCAGATCCAGGTGCCAGCAGGGCCTTGCTCCCTCTCAAACCTGGTGGGGAATCCTTCCTTGCCTCTTTCTAACCTCTGGTGGTGGCAGCAATATTTGATGTCTCTGTCTTCAGATTTCTTCCTTCTTGTAAAGACATCGGTCATTTTGGCTTTAGGGGCCTACTCCATTCCAGTCTGGAATGACCTCATCTTTTTTTTTTTAAATAACTTTATTATCAAACACATACACATACAGAAATTAAAACCATTCAAAGAAGAACAATGCAAGGGAAAAAAACTACAATAATATTCAAATACAGTAGAACTCAATGACCAATATTTTTTGAATGAAAGGCTGAATTGCTCCAAAATGTCTTTTGCTACTGCCTTAAAACCATACCATTCTGAGTTTATTTATTTATTTATTTATTTTCCCATGGAATGACCTCATTTTAATTTAACTGATGAATTCTAGCTGGGTGTGGTGGTTCACACCTGTAATCCCAGAACTCTGGGAAGTTGAGGCAGGAGAATCATTGCAAGTTCAAGCCCAGCCTGGGCAATTTAGTGACTTATTGCTAACCTATCTCAAAGTAAAAAATAAAAAAGGACTGGGGCCGTAGTTCACTGTGAAGGCCCAGGGTTCAACCTCCAGTACTGAAAAAAAAGTTTAACTAATTGCTTCAGCAGTGACTATTTACAGACCCAGTTGCACTCTGCAGTACTGGGGGTTAGAACATCAACATGTCTTTGGGGGTGATGGGAATCAGTGCTATGGAGAAAGGCAGACAGGGTGCATGGGAGCGGAGGGAAAAGGCTGCACCTTTAAGGGAGGGTGCATGGAGAAGGTGACATTTGAGCCACCACCTGAATGAGCAAATAGAGGAGGGAGTTTGGGAGAAGCACTCTAGGCAATGGAGCAAGTGCCAGACTGGTGGCCCGGAGAGGAGAAGGAGCATCAGGGAGCCCCAGGGAGCTGGGTGCAGAGAGTGAGGGGCACCTGTGAGAACCGGGGAATATGAAGGTAGGGAGCATAAGGGATGCGGAGCCCCTGCAGCCTTGGTCCTGGGTGGGAAGAATGAGTGAGAGGCTACAGGCCTGAAGATGGGCTGTGCTAGTACCTCTTCCTTCGAAGCCCTGTAGACTGTGTTCTCCCCAAGCCCGAGAGTGAGCCAGAAATGAGGTTAGCATGGGCTCTTTTGTGCCCTGGGAGACAGGAAAGACGGGCAGCTCTTAGGCCTGAGTGTCTGCTGGGTGTGGTCCCCTTGTGCAAGAGGCCAGAGATGGCCAGCAAGTGGGGCAGCTTCTTGCATGTGTCCCCATCCCTGCTGCCATCCTCTCCTGTCCTAATACACACTGAACTTCCCTGGATGCCAAGGTCTCTTTCAGGGAAGGTTCAAGCTGGCTCTCAGAGCTCTGAGTAAGGACTTCATTTAGCCACCTCTCTCCCTCCTACTACAGAAGGTTCCCTCATGTGCGGGCCTTACTGTCCCTCTGCATGCTCCCCTCAGCTTCCATGATGTTCACAGTTCTGCTTCAGGTGGCTACTCATGGGGACCTCGGCCCGACCCTCTGCTATTTCCCAGGCAGAGATCGGGGTTCTAACTCCAGCCCTCTCTTCCTCCGCTAGGCCTCACCTTTCAGAGCCCCTCTTCATCGACAGTTGACAGTCCACGCAGTCCCTCCCGTTTTCATGACTTTGAGCCTATTCCTTGCAAAAAACCCTGGCTCAAGATGCATTTGCCTCCTTCTTGGCCTGGCTTTCGAGATAAGAGCCATCAGATTAGCTGGAAATGTCTCTGTTCAAGCCATCTGCTCAAATGCCAGCTCCATTAGGAGAAGGGTTTTATTCACTGCACACAGAGGACTGTTAGGAAGCGTATTTTTGAACGGATGGCATTGCCTTTAAAATTTCTTCTTTAATCAGAGAGAGGAGGGGGAACTGGAAATGTGTCATAGCTCTTCAGCTTTCTCAGGCACAAACATGTGTCACCTCCCTGAATCTGCTAGAAACTAAGGGAGGCACACTGGGGTTGATCATGTGACATGCTGCTGGCATAATCAGAAGAGTTACAGAAATGTTATAGCAGAGTTTGAGGTGGACATTTGGTAGGCTGGCGGATACTGTCATGCTCATCTTTTTGATTTAGCATTAATGAAGTTTCCTGAGGAAATCAAGTAACACTCCAAAATGTTCCCAATACTGTCAGTTCTTCAGATTCCACTCTTCATGAGTTTGCAAAAAAAGGAAAAAATGTTCAATATATTTTTCTAGGTAGGCTAGCAAGGCCAAGAGGGACACAGCTGTGTCACTGGCTGAAAATGTGAACAGCATGCTCTTGGACCTGGGAAGCGTCCTGAAGTTTATGGAAATGAAAATATCGGGAATGCAGTCAATCACTTCAAAGGCACAGGTGGCTGCTAAGTGGAACAGTTTGCTGCCTGTTGGTTCCCAATTTCAAATGTATCTTTTTGTTTAAAATGTCTTTATCACATACCAAATGTTACAGGAATTGTAAGGGAAATGAACTAAAAGTAGAAACAATATTTCATCATTTGTCATTTGAGAAATGATGAATATTTCAAAACCATTTGGTAGGAAGCAGGGGATTATGTCCCACCTTTCCTCCCCCAGGGGTAAGGCAGTGTTTCTCCAAGTGGGTTTCAATCTCCTGTGGCCCCAGGAGCCCTAATGGGTGTTATATAAGAAAAGGATCCTGGCTGGGGCTTTAGCTCAGTGGTTCCACCCCCGCCTCAAAAGCGCAAGGTCCCAAGTTTGATCTCTGGTACCAAAAAAAAAAAAAGGATCCAGGGTCTTATCAGTTGGGGGGAGGTTGTTGTGTTAAACAAGTTTCTTTATTGCAGTTCCCTTCCTACATACTCTCCCCCACCATATACTGGGGATGGAATCTAGGGCCTTCATACTGAGCAATCTCCCCCACTCTTTTTAATTTAAATTTCCAGACAGGGTCTCACCAAGTTGCTAAGTTGCCCAGGCTGAGCTCAAATTTGTCATCTTCCTGCCTCAGCTTCCCAGAGTGCTGGGATTACAGTGTGTGCCACCACGCCCTTGCCACTGTAGTTCTTTTAAGGGGTAATGGTTTGCAAATATTATGATGAATATAAAAGAGAGGCTGAAGCCAGGCATGGTAGTGCACACCTGCAATCTCAGTAATTGGGAGGCCAAGGCCAGCCTGGGTTACATAGTTCAAGGGCAGCCTGAATACATAGCGAGACCCTGTCTCACCCCCCACCCCCCAAAAAAAGAGAAAAGAAAGAGAGAGACTGAGGAGCGAGGATTGCTGAGTCCATCCTGGGCAATATAGGAGCAAGACCTTGGAGAAAAAGAGAGAGGGAGGGAGGGAGAAAGAGAGAGAGAGAGAGAGACTTTCTAAGTAGATTTGATCAAAGAATTCTTTACCTTCCTTTCTACTGCTTTTTCCTTTTTTTGATGCTGTGGTTCAAACTCAGGTTCTTGAGTCTGCTAGGCAAGGGCTCTGCCACTGAGCTGTACTTCCACACCTCCTTTTTTTTCTTTTTTAAAGGAGCCTCTCATGGGACCACTGTTCTAAAAACCATGCTTTGAGAAATGTGCTAAAACCTCTCTCTCTCTCTCTCTCTCTTTTTTTCTGGTATCGGGGATCGAACTTGGGACCTTGTGCTTGTGAGGCAGGCGCCAGAACCACTGAGCTAAGCCCCTGGCCCCCTATCTCTCTTTTTTTTGAGACAGGGTCTCACTACGTAGTTCAGGCTGGCCTGGCCTTGAACTCACTGTGTGGCCCAGACTAGCCTCAAACTTGTGAATATCCTCCTGCCTCAGTCTTCTGAGTGCTGGTATTGCAGGTGTGTGCTACCACACCTGACTTTAAAACTTTCTCCTTAGAAGAGAAGAAAATTTTAGAGAAGATTAGATCATGCTACTTCAGATAGCACATTTTCTTTACTTTGTCAGAACAACAGTATAAAATTAATTTTATTTCCAAAGATTATAATGCCATATTACTAAATTTAAATTTATTTTTTTCCTAAGGAGTGATTTAAAAAAATATTTCCGAACTACAACTTAATGTGAAACAAACTTCTATGCAGAGCAATAGCCAAATATGTTCAAGAATTTTATGCAGAATGCAAATGTGGTCCCATAATTTCCTTTTTTGCACAACTTATTTTATCTAAAGTTCTTTGTGGTTTCAGCAATGCTATAGACCAATGATGGTGAACCTTTTAGAGCCTGCTGTGGCACGCATGCCATAGATTTGCCACTACTGCTATAGGTCTTGGCTGGTTTCCCTTCCACACATAAGGCGGCTGTTGCAGAGGAAGCCCATTCCTCACAGAGCTGTTTTTCGCTCTTTGGTTTGGCTGATCACTACGGTAGCCCAGCAACCTTGTTGCCTGAAATGAACTGACCCAGAGCCAAGGGTCAGTGGCCTAGGCTGCTGGCTGAGGCGCAGGAACTGGGGGCCAAGCCAAGGGCACCCAAAGGGCTGATTTGCAGCTTGCAGGGAGGTTGGCTGCATTTGCGGAGTGACTGGTAATGTTTTACTGAGTTAATCTGAGCTTACCTCCGTACAGCTTATCACACTATATTTTCTGATCTTCAGTTTCTGAGTTGTGCCATCATTGGCTTCCGTGGTTACGGTGGGGGGGGGGGTTGTCATGTTGGCTCATGTTGTTGTGATGGAAATGAACAGATTCTTTATGAAGCTACTTTATTACAAAAATAAGAATGCTTTTGGAAAAAAATGAACTTGGAAATTTCTCACAGAAACCGAAAGTGGAAATAAGAAGGACTGAAATGTATAATGGATGTTGGGAAATGGGAAGAAAGTGTTCAAATGGGAAAGGGAACAAGAGAGGAGGGAGGGAGAAAGGAAGGGACAAGAAAAACAGTGAAAATAGAAGGAAAAAATGGAAACAAAGCTTCTGTACACAGGGAGGGAGGGGGCTTGAGTGGGGGAATGGGATAAAATAAAATTTATTTTTTAAAAAAGAAAATTTCTCACAAAGCTTTTTTCTTGAAGTTCACCCAGGGAGACCTCTCCCAGATGTGTTCAGGAAACCTGGCCTCTGCCACCTCCTGGAATGTTGGTCATGTCTGGCTTGGCCTCCACAGGCACCTGTCACTGCCACTGAACATGGCTGGCTCTTCTTTCCCACTCCCCCTGCCAGGGCTGTGCACCCCCGCCTCTCGGGCCCGCGCTTTGCTGACTGGGCTCTTTTGTCATCAGTCAGGGCTGGTGTTCTGTAGGTGTGTGTGTGTGTGTGTGTGGGGATGTGGCCTTCTCCCAGAGCTTGGACCAGGGTGATGGGAGGGAAGCACTTGTTTTGAAGACAACATACTCAGTAATCAAGACTATTTTAATGTAATATTCAATAAAATAAAATTAATTCAAAGATAACCCCACAGTGAACCCATATCGAAATTATAGATCAAGGTGGGACCTGGCCCTGCCTCACTCGCCTCCACCTGAGCCCCGTCTGTGTTGTCCTCACTCTGTTTTCTCTGGATGATCATGTCCACCTCATGTTTCAGTTTTCTTTTCTTCTTTTCTTTCAGAACCAGGGATCAAACTCAGGACCTTGTGCTTGAAAGGCAGGCACAGCGCCACTGAACTAAATCCCTGGCCCTTCTTCTTCTTCTTCTTCTTTTTGTTTTGAGAGAGAGAGGGTCTTACTATGTAGTCCAGGTGTCCAGGCCAGCTTTGAACTCATTGTATAACCCAGGCTGGCCTCAAACTTGAGAGCCTCCTGCTTCAGTCTCCCCAGTGCCCATGTTTTAGTTTTATAATGCTGCATAACAAATCTCCCCTGAACACAGCAACTTGTGACAACCACCACTGCTGATCTGCAGTTCTGCAATCATGATTCCAGGGCTCTGAGAGGGCACTGTGTGGCCAAAATGGGGTTGGAGGAGCCAAGGTACTTTTGCTCCCATGCTAGAACCTCCCCTGGGCAACTGGAGTAGCTGGGCCTCTTTCTTTCTGTCCTGAGTTTCTCTTTTTATAGCCTAGAGCAGTGGTGCCAAACCTATGGCACACGTGCCGCAGCTGGCTGTTTGGATCATTGAAAGCTCTATCAGCTTCACCATTACTGGCCTAGACAGAGCTTCCTCAGGTGGGGCTAGGTCCCAAGAAGTTACACAGTGTCATTTCTGCTTCAAAATATTAGCCAAACAAGTGTCAAACCAGCCTAGATTCAAAAGGAAGGAACTTAGATTGCACCAATTTTCTCTTTGTTCTTGTTCCCTTTCCCTTTTTTTCCTCTTTCCTTTCCTTCCCTCCCCTTCTCTGCCCCCCCCCTTTTCTGGAGACATGACCTTGTTATGTAATCCAGGTTGGCCTTGAATTTTAAGTGATCCTCCTGCCTCAGCTTCCCAACAGCTGGAATAACAGGCATGTGCCACCACGCCCAATTTTTTCCTCTCTCTCCCACTCTTCTTTCTCCTCCTCCTCCTCCTTTTTAAAATTTTATTTGTGTGTGTGTGTGTGTGTGTGTGTGTGTGTTACTAGATACTAGGGCTCCCAGGGCCTTCACACTAAGCTACAATCCAGCCCTCTTTAAAAAGTTTTTTTTTTGGGGGGTACTGGGGATCGAACTTGGGTCCTTGCACTTGAGCAGCAGGCAGCGAAACCACTGAGCTAAATGCCTGGCCCTTGAAAAAATTTTTTAAAAAAATTTTGACACAGTCTTCCTAAATTGTTAAATTACCCAGGCTGTGCTCAAACTTGCAATCCTCCTGCCTCAGCCTCCCAGAGTTCTGGGCTCACAGGAGTATTCCATCACATCTTGCTTAATCAAATTCTTTTCTCGATAGATTACCCAGTCTGTGGTATTCTGTTATAGCCCAGAAAATGGACTGTCTAAGGAGGGTGGCTATGCAACTCCAGGGGACTCATATGAGGAAATTTTGGCTCAATGTTTTCAGATCTGATTTTTCAAAAGGAGATGGAAATCCAGACTTTTACATAAATTCTACCAACTTTACAATGGAGGTCTAATAGGGGAAAAAAAGTAAGGCAATCCCAACTTCCGCTTGTGGCTGGAAGCCGGCCAGAGGGCTACCAGCTGGTGGGCCCTGAAGCCTGTCTGTCTCAGTCCCCTCTCCCCGCAGAGTATCAGCGCTGCGTTTGGAGTGGCCTTCCAGGGCCCTCTGTCTCCGGGCTTCCCGAACTGCACTTAGCGCTGCCTTCAGGCTGGTTGGTCCCGAGTTTCAGGTCTTCACAGCGAGGCAGGAGGCACCCCATCTCCTGGGTCAGACACTGGGGGTCCTCCTGGAGCCTCTGCTCCCCCCTCCCCCACATTTAGTCCGGCTCCAGTTATCACAGTGCCCAGCGTCCGCGCCTCCTCTCCAGTTCCTTGCCTCTGACTTCAGTCCCTCAGCCTCCTTCACGTGAACCATTTCCACAGCCTCCTGACAGTGGCCTCCAGTCTCCTCCCTTCCCATCTTTCCTTGAGAGCTGTGCTGTCCAATACTGTAAACACTAAGCACTTGTGGCTTTAAAACATGTTTTAATCAAAATTAAATAAAATGACAAAATCAGTCCCTTAGTTTTACTATCCACATTTTTGTGTGCTTAAGAGTCACACGTAGCTAGCGGTTTCCATATTAGACAGCACAAATATAGGCTGTTTCCCTCACTGCAGAGATTTGCGCAGGCAGTGTTGCTCTGTGGTCAGCTTACTTCCCCAAGCGCTCCTGGGTTGTTGTTTCTCTTTGGACATCTCCTGGCCTCACTTACACCCCACCTCACCTCTCCAGCTGCACCTCCCATCTTGGCCCTACAGGCACCCTCCAAAAACCACACCAGTTCCCGAGAATCCTGGCCCTACAGATTCTCCCTGCCTGCATACCTGGGCGCTTTGGGTCCTGCAGCTGGGGCAAGCTCCGGCCCTTTCTCTGTCTACCCGATGGCCTCTCGGTTCAGGCACTGCACTCGACCAGCGATTTTTGGGCCTCAGCCTAGGCTCATGCCCGCCTGCATCACGCTAGCTGCCACACAGCTCCGAGGCAGAGCTTCACTATATACCTCAGCAGACTGTGGCTAATGTGTCTGCCTCTCCTAGTTTCCTTCTGTCTTCATTCCTCAGAGGATCGGAGGTGGGGAGATGTCCGGGGACCACAACTTGAGAGGTGTCCCAGGCTTAGCAGGAAGCTTTCATTTGCAAGAAAATGCCTCACTCACACAGGTCAAACAGTAAGGGGCTCCATCAGCTCAACTGGCTGCCCAGTGCCTACGAGTTGCTGAGTTGCTTCCGGCCTGGTTAGCGCTTCCGGGAGGCGGTTCTGTGGGCTCCGGCCATCAGGTGTGTGCCTCGTCCACCAGCTTCTGGCGCCCCCGTGTGGCTTACACAGCGCTCCCAGGGCTCCCGCTTCCGGTTCGGGTCACTGGAAGGAGGGAGGAGGCTTTGGGAGCCTCTCCTAGGAGGGGGAGAGAGTGACTAAGAAGCAGAAGTTCCCTAGGCCTAGATAGGGTCACATCCTGGTTGCATGGCTGTGGCCGGAATGAGCTTGTGTGAGCCACCCAGAGCCCACAGAGGAGCCAGTTCCTTACAAAGCACACGGGCAGCTCGGGCCAGGGTGCACACCTGAAATAAAGTTAGAGGAGTGATCCCCTTCCCCCCAAAAGGAGTAATAGTTGCTAGGGAGGCATCTGAGGGCCACCACAGCCCTCTAGACAGTCCCCTCTGACTAGCCAGAAGATCCCCCACCCTCTAGGCCCTCAGCCTCCCATCCTCAGGGAGTCTCTGTGCACTGTTACTTAATGCAGAAGTCAGGGGAGGTTGTGACCGGGTGAGCAGATCACCCCCCACCCCCCAGGCAGGACCTCGTGGGAGGCTGGACCTTGAAACGTGTCCCTTGTGGGGGGGGGGGGGGGGGAGTCGGCTGCGTTATCTGTGGTCCCTTATCTGTGGAGTGGGGTGGGAGGGGGACCTGTCTCAGCGAACACAGCCCTCCAGCCGCTCCCCAGGCAGGCTGGAAGTGGAATAAGGGGCTGGGCGCATGCTCAGTTCTTCACAGGGGGTACTCTGAATCAAAGAAAGTAACCCAGGCCAGAGCTCTTCTCTTGTCTTGATTCCAGTAAGCCCTGGGGACCAGGAAATAAGAAAGGGCTCTGGATAGAATAAAGGGGACTTCCAGAGCAGGACAGGCGCCTTGCAGATGTGGAAATGCTCTTTCCTCCATCTCATTAGTCTGAACTCTTCCAAGGGAAGTGCTCTGATGTCATGCAGGCTACAGGTGCCTGAGAAGGAACTGGCAGGTCTTTAGTGCCCTCTAGTGGGAGTCCTGAATAGGGACCGAGTTCAAGGATCTCTGTTGTAACTGGGAACACCGAGCCCCCTTCCTCAGTGGCCCTGGAGACGGGGCCAGCAAGAAGTTCCTCCCCCACCCCAGCTCCCGCATAGTTATTTAAGGCTGCGGGCCTCAGACCTGAGGCCTGTTACAAGGATGCTGGAGCAGGATCGTTTCCTGAGCGGAGTGGATGCTGGAGAGAGAAGAGGTCGGTGGGAGCCCTGAGGAGCAGGAGAGCAGAGGGGAGTGGGAAGTGGGTATGGGAGGCCCTTCCTTGGAAAGGCCTCATCGTCAGGCACATTTCTTGGGAAAGCAAGGAAGGGAAAGTCCAAGTTGGTTGGGACTTTGTTTCCTCTCAGAAGAAGTAATTCCTTCTTAAAATTGCTCATCCCCTTCAGTAATGAAATGTGCATACATGGGAAAGATGTGTTTGCAGAGATTCAAGGGATAGGATGACAAAGGGAACCCTACTTGCTCCATTTCCCTTTTCCAGCAGGAGGACATCAGCCTACTGAGAAGCTGAGAGGTTTATGGGTTCGATCTGCCTTTGCTCTCGGGGTGGCAGAGCAATAGCAGCAGAAGTAAACCAGAGGATGTATGCTGGAGACAGAAGAAGCCAGTCTTCTAGTAGCGCCTGAGAGCAGAGAGTTGAGAAGGGCACAGGTCCAGTGACCTCCTGCCCTGTCCACTGGCGCTGAGTGCAGTGTATGGACTCGGCCGCACACCCCTCTCCCTCTCAGTGCCTCTTGGTGTCATGGACACCTAAGCAAATGCCACCCTCCTGTAGCCCCCTCACTTCGGAGTGTGCTAGGTTCCCAAACAGATGTGCTTGTGCATGATGGGATCACCGAGGTGCGGGGGACACCATCTCCGGCTCCATCTCCACTGAACAGCAAACTTGGGTCAGGTGGCTGTGACTGCTGCACTCTGTGTTCCAGTGTCTGGTCATGAGCATCACGGGCACTGGGTGGTAGCTGTGGTGGTTGGAAACTCAGCTGCAGCCATTTCTGATCCTGAAGGCAGCATGGTGGTGTGTTGTTACATCCTTGCTGTTAACAGGCCCACTGGTAGGGCACCTCCTGCCTCCTTCCTCTCCAGCTGCTACCTGCCACTCCACCTATGATTTCACAAGTGCCTGATTCCCTGGGTTGAACTTTTTCTTTTTTCCCAAGATGGTTTGTTTCCAGCACTGCTGGTGTAGTGGGCATGCAGCTAGAACTGCCCTGAATGGTTGAATCTGTTTCTAAGAGATCTTTAGGGCCACTGGCTCAAGCAGGAAGGACCAAACTAGACTAGGGGCAGGAAGTTCAGGGCTGGGTAGAATACTGTCTCACAGGAGCCTGTGCAGCAGGGACAAGGAAAGTGCAGATGGGGGTGAGGCAGAAGCTCCTGGGGAGGACCAGCCTCTGGCCAGATGTGACATTGGCCAAGTTGATCATGAGGACCTTAGACTGCACTTCTCTTCTCTTCCCCTCCCAGGTGTCTGCTCAGGAGGGACATCAGATAGCACTGGCTCAGTGCTCCCTCTTCCTCTGCGAGCCATAGCTGCTGACTGGACAGTTCTGGTGGGTCCGAGGACCCTGAAGTACAAGAGGGCTCAGGTCTTAATTCAGATCTCAAGGGTGGTGGTGGGGGGGATGTTTTAGAATAAGAGTCCCCTAAGAGCAAAGACTAAGGCTCTCCCTGGCATCAGCTGTGGGAAGGGGAGTTGTTCTTTGATGTTCACCACCCCAAATCATACATGTAACCTGGCTGAGGAGATACTTCAACAGGGCCTCGCTTATGGTGTTATGGCGTGTGGCAATTTCAGACAAAGTTCCCCAATTCTTCCAAAGAAGTGGAGGTCTAGGTCCCTTCCCATTGAAACTGAGCGGGCCATGAGGGCTGCTACCCCTGCGGCACAGTGGAAGACAGGCCTTATGACTTCCAGGGTTAGGTCACAAGAGTCCACGCAGCTTTGACCAGGACCTATTGGGCTGTTGTTCTTTGGTGGTCCCTCTGGGAACCCAGCTCTCTGTGAAGCTGTGGACAGCCTGAGCCACAGGAAGTTGCCTGTGGCAGTCCTGCTGAGCTGTCATCCCCTCTCGGGGACACTGAAGGGCTGGTCCTAGCCCTCGTGTCTGAGTCATACCCAGATGTGAGTCCTCCCTGCTGAGGCTTCAGGCTCCATCACCATCACCTCTGTCCCAAGCCCCTGACCCTCCTGGGCCCCTAACACAATAAGGTGGCTGCTGCATTGCGCCCCTAAGCAGGTAGGGGTTTGAATCAGAGCAGTAGCCCAGTGCCACCTGGAGTCACCCTCCACACCAGGGCTCTTCCGTGAGATCACTGCCAAGTCCCGCACTCAGTAGGTTGTGGTAGGGGCAAACAGTCATTAGAGGCACAAAACCCAGCAAGCACTTTGTGAGACCTGACTGACAGCTGATGTTGGAAGGTCACAGGTGCAGGAGACTGCAATAAGCAGGCTGTGAAGAGCTAACTCCACAACTGGCTTGTTTTGAGAAGTGGGTCTGGCTGAAGCCTATGTGCCGAGGTCAGAGTAACTCGCACCCAAATTCCATTCCCACAATTAAAACCTTCTGACTAGAAGGACAAAGTTCCAGTTACCATCATATATTTTGTCTATTCTGTTCCTAATTCGAGAATGCTTTGTCTTGTCCTTTATGAGCCTTGTTTAGATTAATTTCCATACAAACTGCACATAGCTCGCCTTTACCCTAATTGACTGCCAATAGAAGCCAGTGCCTGGGACTGGCCGGGGCCTTGGTCAGTTGCACCAGCGTTGGCCGTCCTGGCGCCCTGCTTTCTTTCCTAGTTCTGTGTGTTAGTTTTATTTCTCAGGCCTGCGTCATATACTGGGCAGGACACTGGAACCTAACTGCAGGGGGCTCCAGTACATGGGCCATTCTCCTCCGTGGGGAGAGGTATCCACACAAGGCCTCTGGGGGCTCAGCTCCCATGGTGCAGTGATTTTGGGAAGCCCTCACTGACATGTGCTGGGGGGCAGCATGAGGCCATGGTTCACCTCCCCATCTGCCCCCACCCCTTACCCTTCACCCCACAGTATTGTTCTCCTATCCAGCAGAGGAGCTGTCCCCCAAAGTCTATTCCAGCCTGTCACACAGAGCTCACAATGGGGCTGGAATCTCTAGCCTCTGATTGGCTGAGCAGGTGAATAATGATCCTCATTTCTTAGGCTTGGAGGTGGACAAGAGCCTGAGCAAGCAGACCTGGATTTGGCACCGGTTCTGGCCTCACTGTCTCTGAGCTCAGGGGCAGGTTTGGCTATGTCTCTGCATCTCAGTTTCCCCTTCTATAAAACAGGCCAGGCCTGGGATGGGGATTTAGCTCAGTGGTTTTGCCGCCTGCTGTGCAGTCGGAAGGACCCGAGTTCAATCTCCGGTAACAAAAAAACCCCCAACAAAACAGGGCAGGGCTGAGTCCCTTGAGAGGTGCTGTCCTCCTCTTTAACTGCTGCAGGTCAAGTAGCCTCGAAGCAAGTCCATGTGGTTGGATACAAGGCCCAGGTCCCTGTCCGGTGAGTCTTAGGAGATGAAGGACATTTCATGTGCTTGCAGAGATTTTAGTCTACAGCTTTGCCAGTTGTATTAGACCTCAAATGACAGCGACTTAAGCAAGATAGAACCTTAGTTTTCTCTTAGTTTTACTTCTAGGACTGGAACAGACCTCAAGGAGGGTCTCAGGCTGTGTCTATCTTGTTGTGTCACAGGTTGATGGGCAATTCTGAGCCAAGCCAGACAGCCACTGTCACCTCTGAGCTCGAGCCAGAGAGGGGCAAGGCAAGGAGAGGTGTATTTCAAACCTTGATGTTCCTGTTGGTGTCCTCAGAGGCTGCTGGAAAACCCCGTGTGCCTTAGGGCTCCCTGCTTCAACAGAAGGGGACAGCTGGTGCTAGGGCAAAGAAAGAGTCTGATCCTCCAGGCAAGGAGGTGTGGGCCCCACCACATCCAGTCATCCCAACTCAGCCTTGTACACCAGTAAGCAAGAGGAGTTAATGAGAACTGCTTCACCTGTCGCTGAGAGGGCTGGGTGTTTATTATTAATTTTCTTTCATTTTTTTACTAGTACGTGTTTGTAGTACAGTGGTTACATTCGTCATGGGGGAGTTGGTACATGTACATAACACACCTTCACTCTCTCCCCTTCCTCCACCTCTTGGCCTCCTTCCCTTTGGATGTTTATCTTATTGATGGATTGATTGATTTTTATTATAAAACATTTATTGGTACATTTTAGGGATACATGATGATAACACTCATCATTAGGGCCCCTTAGATATTTAAATTAGAGCCCATGAAGGGTGCAGAACCTGGGTTGGAGTTACAGGCTAAGGACCTAGCCCGTTCCTGGGTGAATTCAGCCCGAAGGAGGGTGTGGAGGGCGTGCTTTGATGTGAGGGGCTGACTGAAGTCTCTGGCACTCAGAATCTAGCTCTAACTTGGCTGCTCTGCACCAGGAGGACTTCAAGCCTGAGTGTTGCTGGAGTAGTGTCCTCAGCTTTGGTCAATGGTCACATGAAATATGCTTTCCTTTCACTGCAAAAATATTTTTCTAGGACCTAGCCAATTGATCACATCACGCCCCATTCTTCATATCAGGGCCATGTAAGCAATTTTTATTAGCGTGTATTGTAAAGGCAAAACTTTGTCCTGTTAGAGCAAACAGACTGCTTCCTGCAGATAGTAAGGGCTCGGATTTCTTCTTCCGCCCTGGCGGCCCGGAGACTTCCTCAGAGCCTGTGTTGCCAGGCAGGCCAGCCCTCATTACTCCGTTTCCCAGGGCCCCGCATTTTAGTTCTACGACTTTGAAACGTGTTGCCTTCCACGTTCTCCCTGGAAAGAAGCAGGCTATCATTAATGACAGAATAGAAAACAAAAGACCCTTAATTGTAAGCAAACAAAACGAGCGGGCCATGGCCACGAGGGGTGGTGCTGTTGCTGACTTGAGGACGGGTGTTGACTTGCGGTTTCCCAGCAGCAGGGGGGAAGGGCATGCTGGGAGACAGAAAGAAGGCAGCCCTGTGGTGAGAGTTGCAAAGCAGCACAGCAGGGAGCCCTGAGACGACTAGGGGTAGGGGTGGGGGAGTGGTTCTGCCCAAGCCCAAGGTGCAAGCAGAGGAGGGACCTGGGCACTGATCTCAGTTCTACTCCCTGGAAGCTGTGTGACCCTGGGCAAGTCACTCAACTTTTCTGTTCATCGGTGTAGTAACAGTAACTGCCACATGTTGTTGGGAGAGTTTGATGTTTAAGTTAATGCCCAGGAGGGGGAAGAATAGAGCCTGGCTCTTAGTAAGTGCCCAGTAAATGGAGCTTGCATCCTGCTCGTTATGGTTGGAGGAAGGATGAGGAGGAGGAGGAGCAGGCACTGTGGAGGCCTCTGGCTCAGAGTGGAGCTGCCAAGGCCACGAAGGCAGAGCGTGGGTAGAATGAGCCTGTGTAAACTGCCAGTGTGTTCTGGGCATCAGAAGATGGAGCCCCAGATTCCAGCGAGGAGGAGTCAGGTGGGAGCAGGCTTAGCTGCTTCTGGGCAAATGTGCCCCAGGCCAGCCTCACTGTGAGCAGAGCTGTGCCCGAGTCCCTCCTCCCTCCCTTGGGCGCAGCAGGTCCAGATTCACTGCGGCGGGGGGTGCTGGCCCTGTGTCAAAGGCCCTGGGGCTGGCCCTGATGGTGGCTGGGCCCAGGTCCAAGGGAGGGTGATCCGGCCCTTTGGACATGAGGACAGGCTGGGAACAGATCGGTCCTCCCAGAACCCCCAGGGGACTTTGGGGTGGGCACCCACCAAGGCCAGACCTCCTGGTACCTGCGTGTGACTGTTGGGCTGTTAGGGTTTAGGTGTGAGACCGGAGCGGGAGCTCTAGCGATCAGGGATGTTGAGACCCTGGAGGTCAGGATGGGAAAGTGGGAGAGAGTGGGCTCAGCCAAGAGAGGCTGAGAGGGAAGGGCACAGACACTTGGGGAGGGGTGGAAGCTTACCTCGATGGTGGTGAGGGCATCGATGGGGGCTTATGGTAGGGGGTGGTATATGGGCCACCAAGTGATGTGAGGAAACTACTGTAACCCCCGACTTGCTAGATGTCCCATGCACTCACTCTAGAATCGAAGAATGAATTCTAGGAACAACAGAGGTTAAGAGTAGGAAGAATCTGTGGGCCGGGGATTTAGCTCAATGGTGCCGTGCCTGCCTTGCAAGGCACTGAGTTTGGTTCCTGGTACCAAAAAAAAAAAGAGAGAGAGTAGGAAGAATTTATTGAGAGAAAGATAGCTCCTGTTTAAGAGAAACAGAAGGCCACCCCCCAAAGTGGGCTGCCAGCAGACCCCACTTCTCAAGGGAGTTTTATAGAGCAAAGCCATGAGGTGAGGCGGGTACAAGGTGGGACAAAACTGTCAGCCAGTAGGATTACAAGCATTGTCACTTAGGTAATATGGATTAAATAGGGATCAAATGGGGAAGCAAGTCATGTAGCAAGCCTGCAGGGACTGAACGAGGATTTTCGGGGGAAGGAATGGGCTGGGGAGGTTTTGGTCCCTCACCCAAGGTGATTAATGCCTATTTGGAATGTCAGTCACTGCTGTTCATCCTAGGGGAAGTATGTAGTCATTTCTCCTTGTCTGGAAGCCTGACCTTCAGTGAATGCACCTCCAGCCACAGTTGTAATAATGTTCGTTTTTTTTGGTACCAGAGATTGAACTCGGGTCCTTGTGCTTGCGAGGCAGGCGACAGAACCACTGAACTAAATCCCCTGGCCTAATATGTTCTTATCTTCTGCACTGACTCTCTCAAGGGCCCAGCCCTGTCTGACTGCCTATGTATTTTTTTGTTTTTGGTACTGGGGATCAAACCCTGGTCCTTCAGGCGGCGAAAGCACTGAGCTAAATCCCCGGCCCTGACTGCCTATAATATTTTAACTTAGCTGTCTATAATAGTATCAGGGTGTATGCATTATTCAGGTTGTATGTATTCAACATGTGCAGGGGTTTGTATATAATTACACCATAATAAAGCTGTAAAAAACTTCTATAAGTAAGAAAGTGATAGCCTGACAAGAAAGACATGAGAGAATTGAACAGGCACTTTATAAAGGATATTACTCAAATGGCTAGTGGCAAAGAGTGGTTCACCCTCATGGTCATCAAGGATAAGAAAAACCACCAAGAGGTAGCTACCTCTACATTTCCACCAGCCTGCCTAAAACTGAAAAGATGAATGAGTATTAGTGTTGCTGAGGATTTGGAGCAGCAGAATTTCTCATATGCTGCTGGTCGTTGCATAAGTTTGTAGTATTGTAGACAGCTAAGCTAGTTAGAAAATATTATAAGGCAGTTAGGCGGGGCTGGGCCCTCAGCACAGAAGATTCCGTGGTTGGAGGTTCATTCACTAAAGGCCAGGATTCAAGAAACAGAAGAATGACTGTACCCACGCACCTCCTCTAGGGCTGAACAGAAGTGATCGATATTCTAAATAGACATCCATCACCTTGGGTGGGAACCGAAACCTCCTGAGTCCATTCCTTCCAGGCAAATCCTTGTTCGTTCCCTGTAGGCTTTCTATATGACTTGCTTCCCCATTTGACCCCTGTTTAATTAATATTACCTAAGCGACTATGCTTGTTATAACCATATTGGCTGAGCACAGTTTTGTCCCACCTCATACCCACCTTGTGATTTCCCGTTGGATCAGCATTAATTAAGCGACTATACTTTTTTTTTTTGGTACGGGGGTCGGACTCAGGACCTTGTGCTTGTGAGGCAGATGCTGGAACCACTGAGCTAAATCCCCAGCCCTAGCCCCTATACTTTTAATCTTATTAGTTGACTGGAGTTTTTTCCCACCCTAAACCCACCTCACCTGGTGGATTTGCTCAATAAAACACCCTTGAGAAGCAAGGACTGTGGGCAACCCACTTTTGGGGGGCCCCTTCTGTCTCCCTTAGGCTGCAGCTTTCTTTCTCTTAATAAATTCTTCCTACTCTTAACTTCCTTGTTCCTAGAATTCATTCTTCGATTTTAGAGAACACGAACTCGGCGTGTCACATCTAGCAGGTTGGGAGTTATAATAAACAGTTCCCTTATATTATTTGGATCATATGCTCTATATCAGTAAAACCACTTTGGAAAATAGTTGGATGTAAAATATGTTCTCTCTCTTTCCTTTTTTTGCTCTACTAGTGGCCATGTATGAAGCTATTTCAGAAATGGGTCCTGCTCTGTTAAGCCTCCGGACAACAGCCACCCCTGCCAACCTCCTGACTGCAAACTCAGGGCGCTGGTGCCACCAGCAGTGAATAACAGAATGAGACAGGAGAAAAGGGCTCAAGGCTCCTCAACAGGTCCTTCTTATTTTTATTTTGTAGCTGCCCCAAAGCCTTGCAGCCAGCCCAGCTGCACCAGGCACCTCACAGCCTCTTCAGAAGATGTTTGCTTTGGCTGCAGCAGGCTTTGGCTGCAGCAGGCTTTGGCTGCGGACATATCCAGGATGACTGCCCTGTGGCCCTTCTGGGTGACCCTGCCCCTCTGGAGCCCTTCTCAGTCAGGTGCACAAAGGGCCCTTTCTCTACCTGTGGCCACCTATATAAACTACCTCCCCATACCCTTAGCAGGTTCAGTCTTCTGCTGTTCCCCCTTGCACTGCAGTATAAGTCCTAATAGAGCCTCTTCTGCATGGCATATTTTTGCATACTTGTGATTTCTATTTTGAGCAGTGCTTGGTGAGCTGGTAACACTAAGAGCTGGTAACACCAAATGCCTCTGATACTGCAAGTGGCCAGAGCCCAGAACGGGTAAGTCTAAAGGCTGCTGGTGCTGAAAGTGGCCAGCAGCTGAGGCTCTTAGTACTAAAGGCAGCTCACAGCCAGAGCATTGGAGAGCGGCAGAGTATTGCAGCACCAGCCATCTCTGGTCTCTGGAAGAATTCCCAAGACCTGCTGGTAGTTGTAGCCACTAGCATTCATAGCTCAGGGCAGTGAACACTAAAAGAGCTACACTGTGCCAATTAGTGACTTCTGTATGAATTGATCAAGAACCCACAGCCATTTGTAACATCTCAGAAGCCTGTACAGGGTCCCTGCCCTTTAGAGGGCCCTGAAGAAGAAGGCAGCCAATGGTGATGGTTCTAGTGGTTCAAGAATTGGCCCAGGCCTGATTTCTATCTTAAGAATCCACAATAGTCAGTGACAGTATGAGGATGAATGGGGAACAGGTAGGCAGGTGTCCTAGGCAAGGTCTGGATTAAAGTGGCTTATAATTTATATCATATACCTGGTGGTCATTTCCTTGATTCCTGAATGTATAATTGGGGTTGATGCACTTAGAACAAGTGTAATACCCACATGAAGTCCTTGGTTTGTGGGATAGGGCTGTCAGAGGGGGCAAAGCCAAGTTGAGAGCTCACCACCCCCAGTCAAGGGTGTAGACTAAAAACAACATTCATCCTGCAGGCATGGCCATTAATGCAATGCTGTCCTTCAGCATCCAAAGGACTCAGGTAGTGGTTCCCGTCACATCTCCATTGAGCTCACCTGCTTGGTCTCAGCAGAAACAGGCACAACCTGGCAGTTGGATGTGACTACCATATATGTGACCATACAGCCCCGCTGGCAACTGCCTTGCCAGATGTGGGGTCTGCTGGAGAAGAGGGGCCCCGCTGCAGATACTGAGCACACAAACACCCATCAGGCAGAAGATGCATTCTCTTCTAATCCAGTTCTTTTTTTTTGGTACCAGGGATTGAACTCAGGACCTTGCGGTTGCAACACAGGCGGCAGCACCGCTGAGCTAAATCCCCAGCCTTCTTCTAATCCAGCTGGGAGAGGAAGACGCAACAGCTCACATGGGGTGAACTGGGCACTAGTATAATTTGCAGCTTTGCCCAGGATTATAACGAATTTCCTGTCCTCTTTCATATTATAGTTTGAAGAGATCCAGACTCTTAATGTCTGCAGGACACAACAATATTGTGCTGTAAGGGCCAGGTGAGCAAAGAGTGGCTGAATCCAGGAGGTCTCAGCAGCACACACACGCTCCTGCGGGTGGGAGATAAAGCCCACAAAGAGGCAGAGAACCTCGAAAGCTGAAAGGTCTTCAGGTGTCCGGTGATCATAGAGCAGAAGGACGTCTCTCCTAGCATAACTGTAGGGGCATTTGGGAAGCCTCTTACTTGACACGTGAATTTGGAAATCTCCAAGGCATTCTAGTGGAGGCGTGAGTGGGCCGGGGAGGAGTCTGGGGCTCAGCCCACGCGTCTCTCGTGCACGTTACTAGGTGACCATGGACACAGCATCAGGTCTCTGTCATCAGCTTGTCCCTGCCACCTGTCCTCTGATGGTTTCTAGTCTCGGAATCTCTCTCCTTCTCTACCTCCTCCTTCTCCCTGGTTGCTGCCTGTCTCCTGTGACCCACTGCACTTCACGCTATGTGGTGTCCACCGTGTCACTGCCCAGCCCCCATGGCCGGGTGAAGGCTGAGCAGGAAAATCTTGCCCGTGGCACATAGGCAAAAGCTGGGCAGGGCTTGTCTAGGAGCTGTAGGGCCCTGCGTTCTGGCCCTTGATGCCCTCTGCTGACTGCTGGGAAATCTTCTTTTTAGCAGAGCCTGGGCACAAGGCGGCTGGCAGAGCCTGGGTTCCGAGCTGATCCCTGCCCTGCCCTTGTGGGAAAAGGCTTTTCCCTTCTCTGGGTCTCAGTTTCTTCATGTCTCAAACTGGGCAGTTGGACGCAGTGACCTCTATGGCCCCATCTGGCCCTGCAGTTCAGTCCCCACCCGTGAGGGTTAAAGGAGGGCAGCCTGGGGTTAGGGACAGTGTTCGTTTCCAGTGACTGTCCTAACATGATCGCCAACCCTGACAGTTCCGGAGGCCAGAAGTCCGATCAAGGTGTCTGCAGGGCCTGCTTCCTCTGAAGACTGGGGGCAAATCCTTCCTCGCCTCTCCTGGCTTCCAGCGGTTTCAGTGTCCTTGGCCTGTGGCTGCCTCTCTAAACTCTGCGCCCACCTTCACGTCTCCTTCTCCTCCTCTGTGTCCAGGTCTTCTCTCGTCGCTTACAGTACACGGTCATTGCATTTAGGGCCCTCTTTGTAAGCTATGATGACCTCCCAGGACCCTTTTGATTACATCTACAAAGACACTTTGCTGCGTTAGTCCCTGTTTCTGGACGTGGGCTTATCTTTCTGGGTCATCATTCACCCAGTACAAGGACCAAAGCTTTGGATGTAAGCAATGCATCCCTTGTGGGTGAGGGGAGAGGAGAGGGCCTGTGGGCTCCTAAAATTGCCTGGAAGATTGCAGCTTTCCCTGGAGCACCCTCTGCCCCCAGGTGGAAATGCATCTCTCCCAGGCCTCCTAGGGCTGTGGGCCGCCTGTGGCTGAGGGGCGGAGAAAGCTGTTGAGAGAGGGGACTGAGCAACAGGGCTGTACAGAGGCAACACAAAAGGGACGGGCGTCATTGGCCTTGGCCTCGGTAACTCCTGCCTCCTCTGCCAAAGAAGACCTTCACCCTGCACAGACAGAACCCTGGGGTGTTTCTCCATTGGCTCACACTCCTCTCAGCCCAGGCCCACATTGCCAGCTCATTGGTCAGCACAACTGCAGCTCTGATTGGGGCACTCTCCCACTCAAACACCTCCTATGACTCCCTGCTCCTGCCGAGGCAAGCCTAAACTCCTTCAAGGCCTGCCATCACAACAAACCTGAGAATACAGAATTTCTTTCCTAAAATCCTTCCCCTTCTGGCTGTTATTCGAACCTACCCCTAGACCCTCTCCCTCTGGGCTTTTCCTGACACTGACTCCTCCTGGAATGAGTCTCTTCCTTCCAGCAACCTCAAAACCTAGCTATCTTTAAAGTTCCAGCTCTATGACTTCCTGTAAGCACCCCTTCCGATTTCCCAAGGTGGATTGTTATAGATGGGGGCACATGAATCCACTTGTCACAGTAGGCTTTTTTGTGGTGAGAAAAGGAAAAGTTTATTCCAGTGAACAGGGACTAAAGTCGGGGAGATTCTAACAGCTAGCTGGGAAAAGCCGGTTTATTACATCCGTGTGTGGATGGGCTGACACTAGGAGAGAGATATTAACCCCTAACTGGGAAAGGAATTGGCTTATATAAGTGTTGAAGGGGCTAAGGAATTGGGGTGAAATGTTTATGATTAAATCCAGGACAGCTTGCATAGGTGTGCAGTCACTGGACTTCTCAGCACCAGGGGGGGTTGTATACTTTGTTTTGAGTCCATTTGTCCTATTTACTGAGAACCTGCTGTTGTTTGCTGAAAACAGCCTCGTTGCTTTGTCCTGTTTGTTTGTGAAGGACTCACTTAGGTCAGGCCTGACAGGATGTGATCATTTTGTCCACCATGTCTCTCTTGAGACATGTCTGGCTTTGTATCTTGTCCCATAGGGGACTCATTTCCAGAACAGAAGTCACCTCTGTTGGCCAGAGCTACATCAGCTCACTTTTAGATCCTGGCACCTCACACAGTGTTTAGCACATAGCATTTGCTCCTTTTTTCACATGTGGGCTGGGAATGTAGCTCACTGGTAGAGCACTTTGGCGAGAACGAGTGAAGCAAAACGAGCAAACAAACCAAACGAGTCAAGTACCTGTTACAGTTCTTGTATATTGCTCCTCAGTAGCTCCAAGGGTGACTTTCTGAAGTACTGCCACACACAGCTTTCTGACCTTGGGGCTTGATTGCATTCTCTGCTGATTGGTGCAGGTGCACAAGCTCAGATGGCCTGCAGGCCCTCTCCTCCCGGGCTGGCTGTGGTTCACTGTGGGTGCTCTGCATCCTTGCGTGATATCAAGCTGGCTTGAAATGTTGGAAACTTTATTTTAAAGAATTAATGAGCTGGGTGTGCTTGTGTAGCCTCTAATTCCAGTTCTTTGGAAGGCAGAGGCTGGAGGATAGCAGGTTTGAGGCCAACCTGGGCAACGTAGTGAGACCATGTCTCAAAATGAAAAAGGGCTGGGATGTAGCTCAGCAATAGAGTGCTTGCCTAGCATGCGTGAGGCCCTAGGTTCAATTCCTAGTACAGTATTGCGTAGAATGAACAAAACAAAACAAAACAGAATTAATGAAATTTGAATGACATATTTTATTTTATTTAATTAAGTTTATTGGTACATTTTAGGTATACATAATGATCACATTCATCATAAGGAATTTGTACCTGTACATGATGTATCTTGCTTCTTTTTTCCAGATTCTCTCCCCTCCCTTCAACCTCTCTTCCCCTCCTTATTTACAAAAGCTTTGTTTCCATTTTTCCTTCTTTTCTCATTTTTTCCCTTTCTCTTCCTTCCTTTCCCTCACCGCCCTCCTAGTTCCCCTACCCATCTGAACTTTTTCTTCTGATTTCACAATATCTATTATACATTTTGGTCCTCACTTACACTTTCAGTTTCTCACACCAGAGAAACAATGGTATTCACACATGTGTGTCCAATTTATTTCACTTAAGCGTATGGTCTCAAGGTGCATCTATTTAGTTTAAAAAGTCTTAAGTTTGTCTTTCTTTATGGCTGAATAGTTCTCCATTGTATAAAAACCCCCACATCTTCTTTATCCATTCATTGGTTGATGGGCATTTGGGGTGTTTCCAAGATTTAGCTATTACAAACTAGGCTGCAGTGGGTGTACATGTACCACTGTGGTAGGATGCTTTTAATTCTTTCAGGAAGATACCAAGAAGGGGAATAGCTGGGTCAAATGGAACTTCTAGTTTTAGTTCTTTTGAGGAAACGCCACACTGATTTCCACAGTGGTTGGACCAGTCTACACTCCCACCAACAGTGGAGAAAGGTTCCTTTTCCACCACAGCCCCACCAGGACTTGTTGGTTGATTATTTTCTTTTTGGTACTGGGGATTGAAGTTGGGACCTTGCACTTGCAAGGCAGGCGGCAGAACCACTGAGCTAAATCCCCGGCCTGTTGGCTGATTTCTTGATGATATTCATTCTTTCTGGAGTGAGATGGAATCTCAACATTGTTTTAATTTGCATCTCATGAATGACAAGTGATGTTGAACATTTTTTCACATATTTATTTGTTGTTTCTACTTCTTCATCTTAGAAGTGTCTATCATTGCAGATGCCTATTTTTGGAATGGGGGGGTCTGATTTCTTTTGAGTTCTTTATATAGTCTAGATATATATTCCTTTGTCTGAAGAACAGCTAGTAAAATTTTTTCCCCACACTATGGGTTGTCTTTTCACTTTGTTGGTGGTTTCTCTTGCTGTGCAAAAGCTTTTTATTTTATTTTTATTTTTTTTTGTATTA